AAATAGTAAATGAAGGAAGGATGTAAAAAAGTGATCTTCAAGAGAATCAAGATGAAAATACTACCCATAAAAAAGGTTAAATATTAGTTTTCCTATTTTTTAATTGTTTTAAAACATACATAAAATTTACCACTTTAACAATTTTTAAAGATTTTTTGATTTTTCCTTTTTCTCCTAAAGCCCCCCAGTACATAGTTGTGTATTTTTAGCTGTGGGTCCTTCTAGTTGTGGCATGTGGGACGCCGCCTCAGCATGGCTTGATAAGCAGTGCCATGTCCGTGCCCAGGATTCAAACTGGCAAAACCCAGGGCCGCCAAAGCAGAGCGCGCAAACCCAACCACTTGGCCACGGGGCCAGCCCACCACTTTAACAATTTTTAAGTGTACAGTTCAGTGGCACTAAGCACACTTAGACTGCTGTGAAACCATCACCACCATCCTAAATGTTTTTAAAACAAATATCCAATACAGGAAAAGCAGCAACACATATAGATCGAAGGCTGTACAGTCAGATCAGCTCTTAAAAGAAGTCCCTCCCTGTGATTTGCTCTCCTGCTCCGGGACACACTGTTTAGTTATCTAAAGCAGTGCACATCCAATGTAGCTAACGTTCTATGAAAACTTGCTAGTGATTTCCATACTGGCTGCCTTGGGCTTATCTGGCACAATTCCACCTTTTCCTTCCTTCATTTACTCCTTGGGATATCGCTGGCATCACTGTCTGTCTCCTCCACTAGATTACTGTTACTCTGGGGTATGGACCGTGCCCAGTTCATCTTCACAGGGCTCACCATCAATGCTCACATCTTCCGAATATATACTATATGACTTTGTACATTTTCCTGGTCCACAAGTGTTTCTTAAAATATTTGTGGCACTTCTTTTCCCATGATCATTTATTGTCTACACCACACTTTTTGGTGGGCTACTTTTTACCTACTATGTGGTCCTCTTAAATTAGTTCATCCTAAATCATTATGTTTTACCCAGAGACTTACAGGTAGATTATTTCTTACAGTATTTACTAAATCTGTACTAACCATTTGGCCACTTGTTTGGCCATTATGTTCACTGTCATCCTTTATAATGCAGTAGATTAAATTCTTGTGTGTGTGTGTGTGTGTGTGAGTGCACACATGTGCTTCATTTACACAAAGCATTTCACCTCATTGGAGAGGATTATTTCTTTTTTATTCACTCCTCCCCATTACCTCCTAATCTCTCTCTCCAGTTGTCTGCAACACATTCTATTGTGAAGTTTTCCAGAATCTCCCCGGAAGAATGAATTTATCTGTAATCTGTACTACTAATGTAATTCACTTCTGGCCTCACTAGAGGTTCCCCAGTCTGCATGTCCTACCCTCACAGGCTGTTGCTGCCTAATGGCAAGGACTCTGTCATTTTTATATATCTAGCATTTAACAAGGCATTGACAAATAGAAGATATCAAAAAATGCTTTTTCCTCACCTAACCCATTTTGCAGCATTTCATTTGAAACTACAGACCTCCCATTGTTCCCTTCGAAGGGACAGTCTCAGGCCCACAGCAGTTAGCATTTCTTCAGACATAAGGGGGAAGGGGTACTCATTTCAGAGAAGACAGCTTGCAAATCTTACCACTTGCATGTAATTTAGATTTAAGTATTCATTTGAAGCACTTGACACTATAACACTAAAGAGCATGGTCAGGAACTCGAACTTGAGAGACACCGGAAGAGGGCGAGGTGAGAGTCAGGCCACATCTCTTCTGTGATTAATGCTTTGAATGCTATCGTTTCTCACGTTTAAGAAAAGAATATGAAAACGAGTCAGGCTTTTTCAGGGGAGAACATAAACTTTATATAATTCCTATCCCTTATTGCTTAGCAACTTCAAGCAACTTCCACTAATGGGTTTCTCCTGTTAGGCACTTCAGATACCACTTCTGAAATAAAGCAGTATTGATTGTAACTTTGTTATTGTGTGAGAAAAATGAACAATGCAAACGAGAAAATAAAAACATAAGGCCATCTCCATGTGCATGACAGGTAACAAAACTCTCTGACTAGCAGTGTGACCTATGGCAATCACTTAACTTCTCTGACACTTCGTTTACTGACCTGTAAAACAAGAATATAGGACTTTCAAAGGTACATATTTCTATGACTCTATAAATAATTGGAAATTCTCATGTGCTATTTCAAAATTTCCATGGATTAAAAAAACTCTATAATGACTCTAAATGTAACACATACTCATTAAAGAACACTTGTAAAATGATATTTAAAGAAGAAAAAAGGAACTCATAATTCTATTACCCATGGGCCTTATTGTAACTATTCCCAAAGCAGCTAAAAAAAAAATCAGATACATTTTTAAGAAAGAAGTTGTTAGAACATCACTGGTCTGGATCTCATTTTGATTTCCAATAGTAGGCTCATTAATTTATTTTCTCTCTCTCCTGCTCTATTTTACTGTATATTCAAATGAAGTTCAGTAAGTGTCCAGAGGGTCTGAGCACTGTATTATACACAACCCTTTTCTCTAGATCTATTTTATGGGATCTACTGTAGGAACTAAAAAACTCTGTATAGTTGTTCATTGCTTCATCTCTAAAGGGTCAAATGCCAACACTTCCATTTGGCAAAATCTGGTCCCGCCATCCCTTTCAGATTCACTATCCTCTCTCCCCAATTACTCCACAGCTGAACAGGTCATTCAGAAGCTGCTCAGACTAGTGTGAGACTCAGCTAGAGGGCCGGCTCACCAGGCTGGGCCTTGGACACTCCTAGTTCTGCAGCACTTACTGGTCACTTCAGACAGACTGGCCAAACATCTCTTACTTAGAGAGAATCTGGGCAAGGATGAGGATTTAAAATTCTAAAGGCAGTGATTCCAATTCCAGGTAAGATGGAATGAGCACACTCCATCCGGTGTCTCCCACTGAATGCAGCTAAAAAGCATAATGCATAGATCAGCTATTTGAAGACTCCGAAAAGGAAATAGTACCAGGCAAACTAGGGGAGAAAATCAGAATTCAAAGTACCACTGAACCAGTGGGAAGTTTACATTCTGGATTTTATCCTGAACATTGCGGACATTATTTTGTATATATTCTGAGTTCTATTTTATTCCTCCTGAAAAAAACAATTTAAGTAGGCAATGAACTTGGTTAGACTTATGTTATAGGCTTTGTCCCTCTTTTTGTGGGTAGCAAGTCAAATCTAAGTTCATTTCTTTGAACCTCTCAAATTGTCTTGTACATGTGGGCTCAGGGGCCAGCTTGAGACTTGGTGAGGGAGTCATATACAGAAGTAGGAGAATCCTCTTTGTGGCTCTTTTCCTTCCAAAATTGCCTCCTCGCTCTCCAGGGATGGCTGTTCCATGCTTTCTTCTCTGGTTCCTCCAGCCAGAAAAATGATAGTGGGCTTTCTATTGCAGTGTTAACTACTCATGCACTTTGTGACAGTTGCCCACTCTCAGGGCAAAGAAACACATACAAAGGGACACTCACCCATGGTACTTGCTTCTTCAGATTTTGACTCTCCTCACAAGTGTCTGCTTTTATTTAGAATCCTCAGGTAGTTGTTTTTTGTATTTTGTCCAGAATTTATAGTTATCAGGATAGAAGATGGTCTTTAGAAATCGTGTATCATCATAACAAACTATTTTTGTTTGAAACAGAAAAATGTATTTCCTGTGCAAAAAATTACATTAATAATTTAAAACAATATCTGGCAATAGTCAGCTTCTTAAACCCGCTAGTATTTACATGAACATGTGTTTTATAAATCATGTTTTATATCCCTTTCTGTATTCATAATACACTTCACAATTTCCTAAAAATAAGGTACTTCAGCACTTCATAACCAAAACTTTAGCTCCTACTTAACAGTTATCCTATGGATAATACTGTTAAGAAAACAACACATTCACAGTATTTCAATGATATCTCAATGGAAAATTTAATACAAAGATACCCCCTAGAACTATAAAAGTGAATATATTCTTAAAAAGTCAAGTCTCACGTGGGCAAGGATAACTTAGTAAAGTCTGTTTTAAAGTGGCTTCAGGGGCCCACTTGGTGACGTAGCACTTAAGTTCGCATGCTCTGCTTCAGCGGCCCAGGGTTCTCTGGTTTGGATCCAGGGTGTGGGCCAACACATAACTTATCAAGCCATGCTGTGGCAGACATCCCACCTATAAAATAAAAGAAGATGGGCACGGATGTTACCTCAGGGCCAATCTTCCTCAGCAAAAAGAGGAGGATTGGCGGCAGATGTTAGCTCAGGGCTAATCTTCCTTGGAATAATAATAATAATAATAATAAAGTGGGTTCAATCAGGCAAACAATTCCCTGCAGTATTTCAAAGCAGTAGAGCTCAGACCTTGGAATTGAGATCTTGGTTAAATCCTGACTCCACCTCTCACCAGACGTGTGACCTTGGATAAGTAACTTCTGCTCTCTGAGTTTGTATCTGCATTGTAAAATGGAGAATATAATAGCTCTACCTCTCAGGATATTGGCTGGATTAATTAGGTAACAAATGTAAAGTATTACCTATAAAATGTGCAATGCAAGTTACCTATTATTAGTAGTAGTAATAATATTTTCTTATGAATCCCAAAGGATTTCTATGGCCTATTTACTCAATTACTAATCTTTATTTAATCTATTTTCACAAAAACAAATTGAGATCATGTTCCCTCACTTCCAGGAATGAACAACCTTCTACAGTTTAAAATCCAGCATAATACTAAAAGACAAGTTGAAGTTGAATGCACCCTCTAGTGGTGTAGGTTATGTGCAAGTACCTGGCTTCCACAAAAGAAAACTTCACGAAGTATCACTAGGTTGCTGCTTAGAACCTGAAGCCAGGCAGTTGAGAATACTATGGTATGAAGAGCACTATCATACATCTTTTAGGAAGCTCCCTCTCTTCCATAGCTGGAGGATTTGTCTTTTAAAACTTTCCCCACCATAAGACCTAGGATATTTGTGATATTTACCACACCCAAATCTCAATATTCCTACAGAATTGACTTTAATCTTTCCTCTTAAAGAAAATCACTTTCTTGTTTAACAAACATTGCACAGTATTTATTCTTCATTTAGTTAACACAAAACGTACTGATCACCAAGTCAATACCAGGCAATGGGGATACGATATACCATTTACAATATACACATACAATACCACATACAATATAAATATACCATATACAATATAAATATACCAGGCAATGGGGATACAGTAAACAACTTATTACACAATTCCTTATGTAATTACAAATTTGAAAAGTGCTATAAGGAAGCACAGACTGCCATGAGCGTACAGTAGGGTATTGATCCAGTTTGGCGGGGAGGAACATTGGAAGGCTGACTTGAGAATAAAATGTCAGAAGCCTTAAGAGTGAGTAGAAATTAATTAGAAAAAAAGGAGTACCACCATACAAAGAGAAGAGCATAAGTAAAGGGCTGGAGATAGCAAGGTACATGTGGCATTGGAGAAACTGAGAGAAGCTTCCTATGCATGGAGCTCAAAGAGGGGCAGACTGGGCAAGGTGGGACTAGTGAAGTAAGCAGGGACTTAACACCACGTTAAGCAGTTTGAACTTCATTCTAAGAACAATGGCAAACTTTGGAAAGATTCAAGCTGGAGAGCAACAATCTAACTTACATTTTCAAAAGTTCACTTGGCTAAGGAATGGAAAATGGGTTAGAGGGAGCGGAGCAAGAATTGATGCCCAGAACAGCTGCCAGTAATCCAAGTGAGACAGGATGAAACCTGGGACAAGGGAGGTAGCAGTAAACAAATAGATATTTAAGTGGTAAAATGGATGGCGCAGGATGATACGGACGGAAGTAGCGGTCCTGGTGAACTGAGCGAATGTGATGCCATTTTTTCCACTACGTGTAACTGGTGATGGTAGGCGTTTAGGAGGGGTTGTTGAGATAATGAGATGTCTAGGAGACTAGGGTTTTTCTGTTAACAAGAGAACTTTAGTCACCAGGTGTGATACTTCAATTGAATGCTTAACAGCACTAGGCAGGAGGCCCTTGAGGCACCGCCCTGCACCCAATAACGCCCCAGACGTCTTTTTTAGATTTCTATCACAGCGATCCACTCCCACTGCGCTAGTAATTTTAACTTACACCTGCCTGTAAACGCTTAACTCCTCTCGCTGCCAATGTCATCACATTTTCGTTCTTCCAAGTCCAGATCAAAGGTCACTTTCTCAAGGAGGACTTTCCGGGGTCTCCCACCCCACTGACGCTCGAGTTCATCTCGCCCACCGAGCTGGAGTTCCAGACAGCATGGATGAACGCTCCCCATCTTTGAGGCCCCGCCGTCCAGCGCAGCGCCCTTTAAACACCAGGGGCTCCACATTCCCTTAGCCGCAGTTACCCGTCATCCGACACCCAACGCCTCTACGGGAGCTCCCGCCAGACCCGGCTGGGCCCGCCGGAAGTGACGCGCTCTCAGGGGCGACATGCTTCCGGTCCTAAGTGCCGCCCCCGCCCCCGCCCCCGCCCCCGAGGGGGCGGGCTTCTCTGGTATGCTAACTCCGCTGCTCTGGAGGATTCCTGCGTGGTAAGAAGCCGCGCGCGGCGGGGCGGGATGGGACCCGGGGCCCCCCAGATGCCGTAAAGTTCCCTCGTTCGTTCCTGGGGACCTGGCGAGAGGGCAGAAGGGTTGGCTGCTACGTCGCCAAGAGTCTTCCGCGCCAGGTGGGGCTGGAGTGCCGGGCTACGCGGCCTGCCGCGACGGCGGCGCAGGGACCGGCCTCAGCCGGAGGGCACTGGCCGCTCGGGCCGGCACTCCAGCGGACCCGGCCGACCCGGGCTTGATACCCGGAGCTCCCCCCTTCGCACGTACTCAGGGGAAGGATAACCCGCCACCTCTTGAACGGCCCCAAGCCTCACCGTGACAGTCGCAGGGGCTGCAGTGACGCGAGTGCGCGCCGGGAGTAAAGAGCGTGCAGCGTCCACACCTATCCATCGGCCCTGCCCGTCAGCGGGTGTGGAAGGGATGCTTCCGCCGGCGGGAGCTGTGGTTTAGCCTGGTTGGTGCGGCGGCTGCTGCCCTAAAGGGGGTGCGGCTTAATAAGTGAAGATGACTTGAAACCACTGGGCTGGAGTAGCTTATCCTCTGACTAGTAAGAGAGGAAGACCCGCCGGTATCATCACGTGACTGTCAGCGCTTTTATATAGTGTTTTACTTACCAAGCTGCCGGAAAGAGTTGTAACGACAAGCTTTATGTCAAAAGACAGGAATTCTGTATATTTACTAATGTGCTGTGCACGTTGTTTGCATTAAAATGGCAGACTAATCAGGGAGATTGGAAGAAAGTAGCCCTGGGATTTAGAGAGAGGAAAATAAACGGCTAGGCCAAACTGCGGAATTTGGCAAGAGTAACTTCATTCGCTGTAGTATTACTAAGTGATTTAAATTTTGCGAAATAATTTCGTTTCTTAATGAATTGTTTTCCAATTTTAAGCAAGTATTTATATATGCGGTTTTGTTCTTTTTTACTGGTGTGGGGACTTCTGCAGTGAGGGCTAGATTTACATCAGAGACATCTATGCAGCATGTTGTAGAATTAAATAGGTATCTAAATGAAGTAGAAAGTGTTCTAATAATTAAAACTAACATTTGGGCATATGTGATATAGTGATATATAACATGTATCCTTAGTTTTTTCTTTTACGTGATGACTAACTGGTCATGCTTGTTTTAAAGATTAAGGTACCTCTGATGAAACCATGACCAGGTGGGCACGAGTTACTACCACAAATAACAAAAGACCTTTGCGTGCAACATCATGGGAGGACATGAAGAAGGGGGCCTTTGAGGGAAAAAGCCAAAATCTACCAAAGAGTAAACAACTTGAAGGCCATAGACTGTCCCTTAAAAGTGATGCACCCCAAGCAAAACACAAAAAGAACAAAAAGAAGAAGGAGTACTTAAATGAAGATGTGAATGGATTCATGGAATACCTAAGACAAAACTCACAGGTGGTTCACAATGGGGAGGTGATAGCAGCAGACAGTCAGGAAGTAAGGGAAGAAATTGCAGTTGCTTTAAAGAAAGACAGTCGTCGGGAAGGAAGACGATTAAAAAGGCAAGCAGCAAAGAAAAATGCAATGGTAAGATGATCACTTCCACCGAAATGTTACTTTATGTGTGTTGTTCATACACTCACACATACACACTTTAGCAGAGTCTGATCGCTGTTATGTACTAGATCCATAAAGCATCTTTTTGAGGGCTAGTAATAACACTAGGACTATTTTAGCATCTCCTATATGCTAGACACTTGATTAATTATCATGACAACACTACAGTGATGGTGGTATTAGTCCCAGATTACGGATAGAAAACACTGACATGCAGACAGGTTAAGTATCTTGCTGAAAGGCGCTTAGCAAGTAACAGGTGAAATTCAAACCCAAGAAAGGATGTTAATATTTGACTACTTGGAATATTGTCTGGCGCTATATAAGTATATGCGTTAATACATAGATGTCAACCTAAATGGGCTACAGTCCAGCCAAAAAAAAAGAAAAGAAAGTCAACCCAGAGTCTGGCTTCAAAACCTTTGTTCTCACCCCTGCCTTCCAAATAAGCCTTTTTCAAACAGGCTTTTTTTTTTTAAAGATCAAAGTAAGGAGGAAGGTTAAGCACAACAGATTAAATATGTGTGGTTCCCGTTATTTGGAAAGGATGTTCTTTTGTCTTTATCCATGAAAAACTGAGGCACAGGAAGGGGGTCTTAGAAGAATCACACTGGTTAGTCACAGAGCAGAGTAATAGAGGTAAAGCTCCTTGACACTCTCCCACGTCAGTGCTCCCTCCCTCCCCATGTGACGCTCAGGAATGCTGTGGGCTGCATTTCTGTGGTGCCTGGCCCTAGGTTTTAAACTGTGTCAGACACAGGAAATGAAATACTTACTATAATTCTTTCCCTTCTCTAAGTGAACTTCCCATGTACTAGCAGGATTCTCCATAAAAATCAGGATTTGTTGCCATTTCACACTTTCATTTTTTATTAGAATTACGAAATATAGAGCATTGTTTGCACCAAGCCAGGCTTGAAATGTTACAGCTTCCGTACGAATGTGGCTTCTGACTATTTGCAGGATTAGTTCCATGCACTGTCATATGTAAAGATGATTATTTAGAGATAATACTGATGAAACGTTCCTTATGGATAAATTTAGATAGAAAAGATAATCATTTCTATTTGGATCAGGATAGTTTTGTTTAAATTGTACAATTATTTTTAAAGACTTAAGTTAATTTAACTTAAAGATGACTTCATTGACACAGGCAGTGTGGTGAATTGATTACTGTTTGAAAAATCGGAATATCATGACCTTTTAAGAGAAGTTTTATGTTTGTAATTAAGGGAGAAAGACATTGTTTTTCAAAAGAAAAACAGTGCTTTATGTTAAAGCATATACTTTAAATAGTGTATGGCTTGCCTGTGACCTACCTTCAACTGATTTTCTTACTTTTTTAATACCTCATACTAGGCATCAGTTCTTAATTGCTAATAAATTGATTAAGATATAGAAATTTACCCATCTGATCTCCACAGTCCCATCTACATTAAATTTAAGGATCCTCCAAGAAATTTCTATCTGGTGAAGATTAAGTTTTAAAGGTAGAGCCTGATTAGCGAATTGTTAGGTTGCTAGAAACCACCTTGACTTCACCAAGAATCCAAGACAACTTACGTTGGTGAGCCGGTTTTTAGCAGTAGCTTTTCCTGCAGTTGGAGAATAAATGCATTTTCTTTGTTTGGACGAGCTTCATTTTAAAAGTAAAAGTTACTGAAGAATAAAGGGACTCAATCTTTTTCAAAATGTTATTAAACAGGAAAAAAGTGAGGATGTAGTTGCAATATTTGTTTCACTTTGCCTGTTGAATTCGCTTTTTTAAAAACCTGTGCTTATTTTGAAAAAAAATATTAAATGATGAACTATTTGTTAGCCAAGAAATAGATGTACCTTTTTCCAATTTAAATAAAATAGTTTAAATAGCTACCATCTTTGATTATGACTGATGTTCTCATTCATTGTAGCAAAAAATATTCTCCAGACTGCTAGGTAGTATGTAAAGCAACCAAACCATTGTTCAGTGTTTTGTTGAAGCCAAATAATTCATCTTGGAATATTCCTTTAAAATGTGTATATATTATAAAAATGAAATGTCTGTTAATTTCTGAATATTAAAGAGTATGTATTAAGGCTATAAAAACTATAAAGTATACTTCTTGGTATGAAATATATCTCATGAATTGAATCATAATTTAAATAGAATCATTTGACCCTAATTCATTTAATTAGGTGAACTTTAAAATACAAGTATTAATTTTGAGTGATAATTTTTATGGCCATTGTCTTCTCCAGAAACTCAGTTTTTCTAGTTTTTCTAGTGCAGGCACCCCATTAATGAAAGAAATAGTCCGTATTTGCTTAATGCATCTAAGCAGTTACCTCCTACAAAGCCATGTATGACTTTGTGTCTGAGATTGATGGATTTATGGATTGAGGGTTTTCAGAAGCACTGAGATTCTCTGATGAAAATGACATTTCTTATTGTTTAGAAATACTTTTTTCTACAGATAGAATATTGAGATTTCAAAAAAAGAACTAGATAACTTTAAAATGAGAAATGTTTTAAAGATATTTTTGGTAATGAGAAGTTTTTGCAGTGTGGAAACTCATGTTTTGTTTCCTCAGGTGTGTTTCCATTGTCGAAAGCCTGGCCATGGGGTTGCAGATTGCCCAGCTGCCCTTGAGAATCATGATATGGGCACTGGAATATGTTATCGGTGTGGATCCACAGAGCACGAAATAACCAAGTGCAAGGCAAAAGTAGACCCAGCTCTTGGTATGTTTTTTTCCTATCAGGTTTTGATTTGGTTAATGGGGAGGGTGGACAATAAGTAGCCAGTTGTTTTTTTTTTTTATTGCAGAGTTTGTTATGAGTGTGCCAGTTAATATTTTGAAGTGATATGAGATTAAATTTTAAATGGTATAAAAACAAATATGTTTTCTTTTCAGAGTGTTTTAAAATAATATGAATTACATGACTTGTAATGTACATAACCAACTTAACAGGAACTGTTGATCCTTACAGGTGAATTTCCTTTTGCAAAATGTTTTGTTTGTGGGGAAATGGGACACCTGTCCAGATCTTGTCCTGATAATCCCAAAGGACTCTATGCCGATGGTGAGTCCTGTTACCCTCGTATGTCAAAAATGGTGTCATTAAGTAGAGCTGTGATTTATTTTATATTCTTAATCAGTTCTTGGGTAAGCTTGAGAATTTAGCAAAACCTTTAGCAAAACCTTGAGAATTTCATTATTTTTATCAAGTGCTATTCTGTGTACTGGACTTTTTGTGTAATGTGACTTGATACATTAATATCTCAAATCAGAAAAAACTAAGGTGTATATTTTAAACTGTGCTTGCTTCAGCACCATTTGTGAGACTATAACTGTCTACTTTTAAACATAGCAGAAGCAAAGGAATTATATTTCAAGTTAATATAAGATTTAAAAGATAGTGTGGTGAATTTTATCTCAACCTAGCATACCATTTTGGGTAGAAGGGCTGGTACACACTATTCGTATTTGTAGTAATTGTTGTTTCTGAATGTTTTCCTTAGTTAATTATCTGGCACGGGACCCTGTAACTTTCTTATCTTTAGCTCAGCTAATGTATTAAGGTCCCCACAATAAAGTGGGTGATGTCTAAAGCTTTAAGGAGCAGATTGTCGTCTGTTACTGTGTCATTTGTTACTGTGATGGCTGGTATCATCAGGTTCTAGACATCTCTTGTGTCATGTCCTGGGTTTCCTTAGAGAAATGAAGTGAACAACTACAGCTTTTGGAGTCAGATCAGTTACAGCCCCGGGGCCACCACTCACTAGCTGTGGGACTTTGGCCAAGTTATTTAACTTCTCTCATCTCAGTTCCTCACCTGTAAAATGGAGATGAAAAAACTATTTCATTGACTAAGATGCACATTTTTCCCGTTTTAACATCTCTAAATTCAGAATGTATCTGACCATTGATGAGTGCCACATAATTGGCAGGGTTTGTTTTTTTTTTCTGAGAGGGGTGTAAAATAATGATACATCTTATATTCAATGTTGTCTTAGATTTGGTGACTTATGGAATTTACCTTGAAGAGTTATGAGGATTAAAATATATTATTCAAATGCTGCTTCTCTTTCGCTACAGCATCTACAATAGTAAAGAGGCCTGGGCCTGGAAAATGCTCAAAAGTGCCCTTCAGTTTTGAACTTAGGAACAGGTCATCTAATATGACTAAGGAGCAAAGATGTTTTTGGATGGTCAACTAAAATGACTAGATAGAAAAAAATGCAGCAAGGGGAGTAGATCACACAGAAGTGAGAATTCAACCAAGTTTATTTCCTATAGGGTCATTTTTCTGAGTAAGTCACTTAACACTGTGAGCATGATCATCATAATGCTTGACCATGAAGCAGTAGTGTTTGACCATTAAGTAAAGACTCATTGTAGAAACCACGTGTGTTATAATTCACAATCCTGGAATGTTGCTTAAAGCAGGCATTTTATTAGGGTTATGCTGCCTAGCAGATAGAAGGCACTAAAACAAAAGTTGGTTTCACTCCTTTCATAACTGCTCACCCCTCATCTGATCTGTACAGCAGAGCGGTGGTTCTTAACCTTTCTTGGGGTCATTTATCATTAGAGAATCTGATAAAAACTGTGGACATCCTCCTCAAAAAAACTATCTGCACACGAATTTTGCTTACGGGTTCAAGAGTTCACACACCCTTGCCTGTCTAACTATAGTTAAGAGCCAGGCTTCTCTGCAGTGGCTCTTGGAGACCGCAGAAGACAAGTGCCTTCCGTCTTCTCTGTTTTCTCTTTCCCACATCTCCCCTGAAGGCCAGCTGCTGGAAATGGTGGGTGGGTACAGTTTAGTGCTCTGTGAGGTTAAGAGGAATGGAGAATGGACTTATTAGTAGGACCCGTGGCACCTACCTGTGTTCCTGGCCCCAGGTACCCTTACAGCTGACAGGACTGTGAGAAACAAATGCAGTATGAAAGTGCTTTGAGACATTAAAAGCCCTGTGTACGTCTGAGAAATGACTTTGTTCTTTCACTAGGTGGTTGCTGCAGACTCTGTGGCTCTGTGGCACATTTTCAGAAAGATTGCCCTGAAAGTCAGAATTCAGGTGAGATCCCTGGGCCTCCATTTAGAAGGGGTGAACTTAGTATTCCTCTGAGTTTTTGCTGAATTTTGTTATTGGTAACTCATTGAGGTACTAGTGATTTTTCAAGGCAACGTGGTTTCCTGCTGCAGCGATGACTTGATCATCTCTCTGCCAGCAGCAGACACAGCACTGACTGAGCATTGGCTGTGTTCTCAGGTGGGAAAATGGCAGTAAGCCCTGGGGGACCTTGATTTTATAAAGCATCTTATTCATACACATTTTGCTAACTAATGAATTTAATAGTAGAGCCAATTCTGTTACTTAAAGAAAAGTATTGATTCAGTAAGAGCAAATAAGAAATATGAAAATAACTTTCAATATTCTTATGATTATCTTCATATTTGCTTTGTGTGTACTCAAAGGATTCAGAGGTGATTGCAAAAACTGCCAAAAATTTTAAAATTGTGTTATTCCCACAGCATCTAGCCAGTTATATTTTCTACCTAATGAAATACTACCCTTGGTCATCAAAAACTTCATAAATGTTCACCAGATCTACGGCAGATTTTTGAGGAAGTGGAGACCATTACTACGTTAGTTTCCCTAGATTAGAACAATGATGATCCTATGTGAAAGAAAGCAAGACAGAAGGATAGCCCAGTAGTGCTTTTTAGGGAAGAAAAAGCACATTTCTTTTTATTTCAAATAGTCATAGTACTATGCAAATAAGTCTGCCCATTCTTACTTGCAACCCCTAACATTTAAATTTGAAAACCAAGGGTTCTTGCTTATGCTCTTGCCTAGAAGAAGATGGTCTTTACTACATCGGAGGCAGTGAGATTGAAATGATGAAGTGGAATTTGAATTCTCCCTCCTGGGAGGATTGCCACTTCCCAAATGACAAGACTGACAAGCAGATGTTGTATAATTTCACAGGTGGAATCTTGTGCATTTAAAACTGATGCTCATAAGTCTTGCTGTTTATACACTCTTGGAATTCATTGACGATAATGATGAACTCTGGGAAAGAAAGAGCTTTCTCATCAATTTGTGCATTGCAAAGCAGTAGCTGTATTTCCCTAATTGGGATGAGAAATTGCCTGTGATACTCCAAAATCAAGGGTTATAATCAATTACAGAATTGCTCACTTTCCTTTACTGATGGAGTCTCCCCTCCTTGTGATTATTCATGTCAAAACTATTTCCTTGGCTAAACCAATACCAATCTGGGTGGATATATTTCATTACTGTTTCTTACATTCTGACTTTTCTACTTTTCTCTTCCTTTACAGATCGAACGGTCACAGTTGGTCGCTGGGCAAAAGGAATGAGTGCAGACTACGAAGAAATTTTGGATGTGCCTAAACCGCAGAAACCCAAAACAAAGATACCTAAAGTTGTTAATTTCTGATAATGATTAGTGCTATTGTTAGTTCCCGCCTCATTGTTAAGCATTCTGAACTGGGACTTCTTCACAAGTTGGAGCTGGGCTCTCCCGTGGAGGCCCACAGTGTAGATATCAGTGTGATCTGGGGCTTGTCACAGTTTCCTGATTCTTTCCATTGAGGAGTGCTTTTACCACTGTTAGGAGAAAATCGTGGAAGAAAAGTATAAGATGTTTAAACTGGATTCTCTAAAAGAACATATTTTTAACAGAGAGAACTTAGGTATAACTAAGTGGTTATATACCTGATTGTAACAATCATCTTTTTCGTAAAAACAAAATGATGCATTAATGTGAACCACCCCTAAACAAAGGGTAACTGCTTCGCATTTAGAAATGAATTTTGGGTTATATTGTTTTCTTGGTTCAAAGTATCAATTTATTATTATGTTAGAAATTTATTTATAAACTACCACAGAATCTGCTGTACTTTAAAAATATTTAATAAAAAATTTGGTATTTACTTATTTTTTGGAATACCTAATTCTGGATTGAACTAGCCCTTGTCCATTAATGTCCATTAACAATCCCTTTGGAAACACGATCTTTTTTCAATCCTAGATGAGGTTAATTTTGCTTAATTTTTGTTTTAGTTTTGACATAAAGAATTACAAATTATTGAGGGTAAAATAGTACCTCAGCTTAGCAGCTCGCTCTTTGCCCTTGATTTTCAAGCGAGAAATTCTAGCCAAGATTCAGTTTAGGTTATTTAACCAGAATGATGGTTCATAACAGATTGTAGATCAAACTGAATAGCATTTTGTTCACATGTCTTAGATGAGTCAGGGTGAGAGGCGAGTATCACCGTAATAGAGTTAGAACACTAATCAGAGACCCATTAGCTTCTTTGTTTGATTTGATGAATACATGCATACCTAATACATACATTTCACAGGGCTTAAGGCTCCCGTTGTACTGTATAACAGAGTGACTGGTGATTGTGTGTTTCATTTGGAATTTTACCTGATTGGATACATTTGTAACTAAAGGAAACAGCCGTGATTAGTTACTGATGTTTCACAAGCAAAATATTTACCAAATAAGAAACACTGTTCTCTGTTTTAATATCTGTGTAACTCAACAGTTCTAATCTTAATAGAAGCTCTTTTATTTTCAGTGAGAGAGAAAAACATGACAGAATCCTGCTCAGCATCCCAGGGCTTAAGGAAGTGAGTGTCATTTAAAAGGAATTGCACAAGTCATGCAGCTGGAAAAAGACAGCAATGCTGCCTTAGTCATTTAGTTGAAACACACCCAGATTTCTCTCAGCTGTCCTCAGGAGCAAAGGGCTCTGCACACGCGAAGACCTGTCGGCTGCAAGTTAAGTCTAGTGGTTTTTATGTCCTTGATGCAGGGATGTTAGTGTCCATTTTGTCTTCCTTGGGTTACTTTGTTTACATTTTAATGATCTATAAATTAGTGAAATCATGAGAAATAAATTGCAGGTGCTGAATGTAACATTAGAAAAGTGTATGGACACTTTGTCAAAGGAGTTCATGAGAGACAGAAGTTCTGACATCCTGAGAGATTATGTGTTGCTTGAAAGGAACAATAGGTGTGGTTATTTCTTAGTGTGAATGGCAAAAGGCGGCGGCAAACCTTTGATTTCTCCATTCATTATCTATTTCCCAAGTACCTGGCTATGTTCCCGGTACTCTTGAGCACTTGAGATTGTGGCAGTGAATGAGACAAACAGGGCCATGTGCATTCTGATGGGACTGAAGAATAGACAGGAGATTTAGGAAGGAAATATATTTAAAAAATCAGTATATCAGAAAAATAATTACAGAAAGGGATATTTTATTACATTTTTAAAGTATTTGGTTGAATCTCCTAAAACTTAGTCCTTAGCACTCTTTTCCTCCTTCAGTCCTTTGGACATTCATCTCTTCTTAGCTTACAAGCTTACTTTCACTTTTCTGTGGCCGACTCCTACATCTACAGCTAGCCCTACTGTCCCCGGCCTCGGTCCCATCTTCTCACCTGCCTGCTGGACGTTCCTACTTGGATGTTCCACTGACACCTTAAACTCATAATAGCTTTAAACAATCTCATCACTTCTCTTGAAAGAAAAAAAAAGGACTAATTTCCTTTCTTCTTGTCTCCACTTGTTTCACTACAACTATATTCCAAGCCTATTGGCTTGAATCTCAAGTTGCTCTTTTCTTGACAGTCTTCCCTCGATGCCCCCATAGTCAACGTTCTCTTGCTTCCTTCAGCTTATGGAGAGTCTTTCTACAACCGGTCTTAGAGGGATGAGCAGCTCCTTCCTCATCCCAATAATTTTTGGTTCTCTTACTCTCTCAATTTTCTCCATAATTTATATCCCCACCTAACACTATTTATTTGTCCTCTCTCCACCAGATTATAGGTTAGATGAGGGCGGGAATTTTGACTCTTGCTCATTACTATATCCCCAGAAGAGCTCAGCACATATGAAGCATTCAAATTTGTTGAGTAGTCACTCAACAAAGTGGTATAAAGGGAATTAACAGAGAGATGATGCAAGTTACCAGAGAGCTACTTTAGACTGGATGGGGAAGGCCTCGGAGGGGAAGATTTTTAAGCTGAAATCTGAATGGCAAGAAGGAATGAGTTATGAAGATAATGGGGAAGAGCATTTAGGGAGAGGGTATAGTGAGTCAAAGCCCTTACAGAGGGAATGGGCTTGCCATATTTGAGGGGCTGAAAGAAGATGTGATCTTTGGTGACTGGCTTCCTTCACTTAGCATAATGTTTTCAAGGTTCATCCATAATATTCCATCATGTAGGTACACAGGGAGTAAGTAAGCCTTGGGTACTTTGATGTGAGGTAATAGGTAAATGCAGTTATGCTGAGGAGGAGCAGGTCTGGTGAAGTTGAAAAACAGCAGAGGCCAATATGGTTGGAAAAGAGTGAGGGAATAACTTGTAGAAGAGCAGACAGTTAACGGGTCACATGGGCTCTACCAGTTAGGTTCTGCTGCATGACAATCACAGAGTCTCAGAAACATACAACAATAAGCATTTCTTTAGCTCAGGCTTGCCTGTGAGTCAGATCTAGGCTGGGCTTACCTGGACAGCTCTGCTAATCTCAGCTGGGCCTGCTCCCATCTGTATGAAGTTTGGTCTGGGGTCAGCTGATCTAAGCTGGGCTCAGATGAAGCAGCTCTGTTCCACATGTCTCTCTTCCTTTTCCTGGGACCGGCAGGCTAGCCCCGTCATGATTTGCTCATGACGGTGGCAGGGGTGTAAGAGGATAAGTGTATAGGCAAGGTAGACTAGGGCACTCCCTTCTTGGAGGTGTGGATGGTGGTGAGGGAGTGAGTATTTCTGAAAAATAATCCAGTGTACCACACAAACCCTTATAGACCATTATGAGGCTTTGTCTTTTACTCTGATATGCAAAATTTTTCATGGGTTTGAGGAGAAATGTGACATGATCTGTTTGCTGGATTGAGAGTAAAGTGAAGGGAGAAGCAAGAATAGAAACGGAAGGGTTATAAGCCAGATGGTGTTTCAGATTAAGGTGGTAGTGGTGGAATTGATTAGAAGGGGTCAGGTTCTGATTATATTTTTAACACAGAGCAGATAAGATTTCCAAAAGGAAGGAGGATTTATGGAAGGAAAGGTGGCAGAATTAAGGGGACTATTTTGGAAATGTTAGATTTGAGATGGCTATTATCTTAGTGGAAATGTCAAGTGAGTAGTTAGATCTACAGTGTGGAGTTCAGGAGGGGTTAGGGCTAGAGACATAGATTTGGGAGTTACTGGCAAGTAGATGGCTTTTAAAACCCAGAGATTGGGTGGACTCGGTGAGGAATGGAGATAGAGGAGAAGAGGCCAAGCACAGAGCCCTAGGTAGTCTCATATTTAGAGGTCTGCTAGAGGAGAAAGAACCACAAGAGGAGGCTTTAAAAGTGTGATCGGTGAAGTAGGAGGAAATCCAGGAGTGTGACATCATGGAAGCCAAGAGGAGAAAATGTGGCAAAAACAAGGAACTAGTCAACTTTGTGGAAGGCTTTTCAAAGGCTAAATAAATCAAGAACAGGGCCATTAGTTTTGGTAATATGGAAGACATAGCTGAGCCTGATCAGAGAGGTCTTTGTGAGGAGAAGTAGAGGTAGAAGTATGATTAGGTGCATGAAGACCACATTTATGGATAATTGGAATAAAGATGGGGTGAGAATTAGGAAATGGCATCAGGTGAAGTGTTTTGCTTTGTTTTGTTTTAAAATGAGATAATAGTGGCTATGGAAATAATCCACTGTAGGTAAAGAAACTTCTGAATCAGAGAAAAAAGAGAACTGAAGGAAGGAAGCCTTGGAGAACATTAGAGAAATTATTCTTTGCTAGGGGTAGAGATATTTCATCCTTTATACTAGGAGGGTACAGCAGAGATGTGGAAGGCACATAGATGGAAATATGAGAGGACTCCTGCCTAATGGTTTATATTTTCCTCAATGAAGTATTTTCCAAAGTTGGTGAACTGAGGGATGTTAGGAGACATGAGAAGTTTGAAGGAAGAGGAGGCAGCGTGAAATAGCAAACATACAGGGGAATGTGGTAGGATCATCAGTCCTGAACGTCCTTATGAAATTTGCAGTCATAAATTTCAAGTGAGTTCAGTCCACAATTTTCAGGTGCTCAGTGCAGGAGTGAGATATTATGAATACTTTAATTTAATCATGTGGTATTGCCAGACAAGTTGAATGAAAGGAGAGAGGTACAGGTCTACTATAATGATGGACAGTGGAATCTAAGCCAGGTAAGGAAAGAAGGGAGGACACAGAGAGCGGGGCATAAGCTGTGAAAATGATAGAAATATTATTTTCTAATCTATTTTTAAATGTCCCTAAAAATGTCACAAAATGAGGACATGAAAGATGGCATCAGATGTGTAATTTTTATATGGTATTTCATACTTGCCAGTGTAAAATAAGAAAGGCATTTGGAATTTGATATTTCTCTGACTTTTGAATCTGGAGATGGGTTAATGTCAAGAAGTGTGAAGGGTCTGAGAACCTTAATAAACTAGCCTGTTACTGTTGCGTGGATGTTGGCAGAACACACGAGACTCCTGGTTCAGAGACAACTGTGTTACTCATGGCACAGCAAGCAGTGTGATATCAACATATTTGTGTTGCTTCCCTTTTTCCGTAAATCCTACGAGTGACATGATGGGCCTAAATGGATGCTGTAAACAAAGTGGGTTTGTGTCACAGCTGAGGAACCCAGGGCCCAGCACTCTTCGAGCAAGTTGCTAACACTGTAGCAAGCAGCAAACAAGTTAGGCCCCTCTGCCCAGAGAATGAGCAGTTACACTGAAGTCATTCTGTGATCACCTTGACCTTCTTAGTTGCCTAGAGCACTAGCTACAGATATTGCTCAGAATCAGGAGCTGGATGAGTCTTGTAGTCTGGCACACTCAGTAAGAATGTGCAAGACCATTCAGGGCCCATGGTGAACTGCCTGTCCTAATAGTTACATTACCTTCAAATGGGTGGAGCAAATCATGAACAAACTTAATAGTTTTAATTTTAATAATTTAATCTAAACCATAAAACTTACTCCTTAACATATACATTTTCAACATGTATTTTCAAGACTGCTCCTATAAATATACCAATAAAAATTTCCAAGGTTATCTCTGAAATGTGCAATATGAAATATGAACAAAGCTATATGATAGTACATATAAAAATACTCTGGTTTCTTTTGATTTTTGTTAAAATTGTTCATCACTTCCTAAAGATGTTTGAGTATAAGGATAAGCTATATTCCAAACTATATAGATCAATTTTCACCTTTTTTCCATAGATTTCTTTTTTAAAAAAGATAATAGAAACATTGAATACAGATCAGAAGCTCAGTTGCATTAAAACCAGGAAGAATTAATAGAGACAAGCCTCCTTTCTTAATCAAAAAGCTCTCAGTCCTGTTAGAAGCACTTGAAAACTCTCAGCATCAAGAAAGGCATGTCTTGAGTGTTCTTTAAGGATACTTTAACACTCCTAAGGAAAAATTAAGCATGACTGCATTTTTACGTTTCCTCTGTCCTACGTCTCCAGGGAGTTTAGGGTGGCAGCTGATGACCCAGCTTAACTGCTTACCCTTGGAGCAGCTTGCTTAAAGCCTGGCACCAAAGAGAGCAAGGGGAGGCTGTCTTTAAGTCAGTTCTCTTTACTTACCTCTCACTCTATTCCAGCCTCTCCAGCGTCTCTGCTTTTCCTAGAAGGTGCTAGAAACATTCTCATCTCAGAGGCTTTGCCTGGGCTAGTCCTCCTGCAGGAAGCATGCTATGTCCAGAGATCTTCGTAGTTCAATCCCTCTCTGCCTTCAGATTTTTGCTCACATGTCCCTCAGTGAAGCCTACCCTGCCCGCCCTATTTATAATATGAACCACCCAAGGCCTCCCCAGCACTCATCTCCTTTACCCTGCTTGACTTTTCCACATAACACTTATCTGCTAAATGTTCTATATTATTTATTTATGATGCTATCAGTGTGCTTCTGTTCCTTCCTGAACCCACAGTGCCCAGAAGTGTTTAAGGTAAAGTAGGCTCTTAATAAATATTTATTGAATGAATGAAAGAGCAATCAGACATACTTCCATTAAAGAAGGAAATGTAAACCTAAGGGCTGTTGTTGAATTTACAACAGGAATGCCTTAGTCCATTGTGGCATGGTTCCGAGCAGTAGATTTTAAACTTTTTGAGATGCCCTAATGCATTGCTGCTTTTTCCAATGTCACACCCTTTAAAAGTCTCTTTAGTCCAGTAGTCCAAAAGTGAGCACTTCAACCTAGGCCATGCTGACTGATCCAAGGAAGAGCCAGACAGGTGAGCCCTGTGTCTCTGTTCAGAAGCATTTCTTTGAGAAAGGGTAGAAGGGACTGTTTGGTACAAAGATAGATGAAAATGGGAAAACCTAAGGACCTGCCTGCATTATAAGACTGGGACAAACTCAATAGACCAGCACCATGTAAAGAATCTTCTGTGATGAGGGAAATGTTCTATATCTACACTGTCCAATATGGTAGCCACTTAACCACATGTACCTAATAATACTTAAATTGGGGCCAGTGTGGCCGAAGAACTGATTTTTAAATTTTAATTAATTTAAATGGCCACATATGGCTAGTGGCTACCATACTGGAGAGTGCTGGTACAGATTATGCCTGTGTTATAAAGTAGAGTGGGCAACATCTTTATGTCTAAAAGTGATCCAGCCAAAGTTATTCTGTTTCATCAACTTCCCAATGTTTCTGTTACTGTTCAGGAAAAAGTTTCAAAAAAATATAAATTCAGGGCAAAACATAGGACAGACAGTAGTTGGCAGTGCCTCAAATGTAGGAGAGGTCTGAAATTATAGCATACAAAATTTTAGTGTAATGTAATCCCTTAACTGCTCATTTATTTCCCTTTTTTAAAATCTAAAAATATTCTTAAACGTCTTTCTTTCTACTTCCGAAATGTAATGTGTAATCATCATTTTAATCTACATATCCAATCTTCTTATTGTATATAAATGTTAATTCATAAAATTGGAGCACAGTCCAAAGTTCATATAAATGAAGACTTGCTGACACAGAATAATAAAAATAATTGCAACCAGACCTAGACTGGGTGGGTGGATGGGGAGGTGGCATAAGCAGGGGGAGCAGAGATAACAGCAGGATGCATCCAACCCCTCTGCTCTCCACTCTAACGGAGAAGTCCTCCGACTTTTAGATGTCGTCCTGTAGAGGAGGCTAACTTGACATATGTTGGTTTGTCTTAGGAGATTAGACAAATCACTGACAGAGTAGAATAATAAATGTTGAAGTCTAGGGAATAGAAAGTGCTAATGTAATAGTTATGAAAGAAGAGCTCAGTTAATATTCTCTTTCTCTGCAATATCACATTTTGCAGGTACTTTGTATGTGTATATAGGGCAATAGATACTAAATTGGTCAGCCACCTTGACTATATGTTAAATGACACTAATAAAGTAGTTCCTATTACTAAAATTGATTGGGTCCCATTATGTCTTAATGTCTTCCTAATTTAAAGCTCTAAAACATGTAATACATCTTGTCAGATGCTCTTGACAAGGAGCGGATACCTGCTGAACCTGGAATAATCCCACGGTATTAATCAACCAGCCAACTTATCATTTTTTATTTCAGAAAATTTTATAAAATTTCAAACAGAACACATTTCACCTCTGTAGCCTAAAAATGTTTATGATCATTTTAACCAAATTTGCACCATTTTACAGAACGCACAATATAGAATATAGGCAATTTTCCATGGCCTGTGCCTCCCAGAGGATCTGAAACAGTTTTAACGCTCTTAATGTCAACCCAAGTCATTGGTATTTGACTTAGGATGCATTTTGTTTTTAATCTCTTCATAACTGCATTTTACTTTTAAATTATTTTGTGGCCCAAAAGCTTGCCAAGTGTCAGGGTTAAGGGTGTTTGGAATTAAAAGTGAGAAATCAAATGACAGGTAATTGAAAGTTTACCATTTAAAATCTGATTATCTACCCATCATCAACAGCGTTCTCTAAGAACCGTATACAGGAAGCTGCTGTCTCTTCAATGGATGTTGACCAGCCACCAAGATTTCCAGCAAAGTAGGAAGAGATGCTAGCAGAAATCTGGTTAAAGTAAGATACCTGTTTCAGAAAGAAAATACAATATTTTAATTGTTTATTGACTGGAAACTTTTCAAGCAGGCATCTCAATCTTGTTGGTATAGGGGAGCCTATGACCCTAATGTTCTGGGGACCTTCTGGAATGGATCTGAAAGGAGGACCTTAAGATTCCCCTAGTGTGAACACACATTACAGAATTATAATTAGTAAATCTGGGTAAAAGATTTCCCTAAATCTGTAGGAGCAAATTAATCTGCAGATGTTTCATTAAACTTACGGTGCACGAACTGTTGTCAATAGCACAGATGAGAAACCCGGCACATCGGATCTCACTTCTCATGTACTGTGGAGAAGGAGGGACTGACGGCAGAATAACCGACTTCGCTGCCACCGAGAACGTCTTACTGAAAGGTGAACAGACATTTTCTAAGTTCTTGCGAGAAATGAAGAATAGTTGTTAGAAAATAAATTCCTATAATGAATGCACTTTATTTATATAGGTAGAAGTGAAGCTATGGAGACCCAGATCTTCTAGATGAGCGGTGTGCATTAGAAAACATTCTCTGTCGCTCCAGGCAACTGTAGGAAACAGTAATATGGGGCACACGTGTTTTCTGCCTAAGAATTGCATACACTTTGCATAACTCCACAAAGCTGAAGTTGTCCTCCAAACTGTGCCCTAATGGGTTGTAATTTCTCTCCTTTTTAATGAAAAAATAATATGCATTGTTTTAAAGAACTCTCAAACAATAGAGTACCCTATAGTCTAGAAAACAGAATTCTTCCTTCAGTCCACCATAGCCACAATCCACTCCCATCCCAGAGAGGACCACTCTTAACATTTTGTTGTGTATCCCTCTAGACCTCTTCATAAATATATAACATTTATGTAAGCAGATGCACATAATATTTAGCTACATTTAATCATTTTACAAAAATTGGTCTATAATTTGATTTTTCACCTAACAATAATTCTTTAGAGGTATGTCTGTATTCTACCAGAGTATAGCTCTAGCATAATTTATAAAATTGACCTTCAGTTTATTTATAATAGCTTTTGCTGCAATAAATGATATTATCCTGAACATGCATGTGCATTAATATTCATACATGGGTGGGGTTGTTTCTGTAGGCCAGGTCTGACACTGGAAATGATGCTGGCCAGTTCCTGGTGTACACCTTAACTGTCCAGCAGCTTCTACTTCTTGTCTCTTTGAACACTTACTCTGGGGACACCTCCTCTTAGAATCTAGGCACCATACTCTGAGAAGTCCAATGCCCACAGAGAAGTCAGGGACAGACACTGATCGACAGCCCTAGCTGGCAGCCAGCTATTCTGGATGTCTAGCACAACTGAGGCTTTGTAAAGTCCAAACCCATTCCTGGTTTTTTATTTGGCTTTCACTTCATTTTTACTGATAATGGAATGTTTCAAAGGTTTGCTAAATATCAGTTTTGTGTGTGAATAGACCAAAAGGCAAGGGAACTGCTTCAGGTATCTTGCATGGTGCTTTGCACACAGGTGGTACTTAACAAGTGTTTTTTTAAAAAAATGATAACTAAAGGTCCATCCAGAAAAAATTCAGATGAATATCAATCAAGACCAGAAATGCCTACATTGACTTCCTTATTTTCATATCAACTTTTTCTTTCTACCCTATACTATAAAACGTTGCTCTAACACTTGAATTGCATATACTCACCAATCTTCAAGAGGCCTTCTTCGTGATACAAGCACTACGAAGTCTTTGGGTTTATCACCATTCACTACAGGACAGGTGATATAATATATTTGATTGTCTTCACTCACCCGCTCTATGACCTCACAGGACCTACATAAACAGAACAGTGAAAGAAAGGCTGCACTTTTCCACCTGCTAGAGTAAGGCATTTACGTCATTTGTTTGTTTGCATAACTTCATTATTGGTGTCCACATTCACTCTTCTGCTCATCCTCCCAAAGCCAGCATCATTTCTCAAAGTCCATCTTTAGAAAGAGCTGTTTGGTCAGAAGGAATAATTCTGCACATGACGGAGAGAATGGTGGCCATCTGTTTCTAAGGTCACTGCCCTCAACACTTCAGAGAAAGGCATTTAGCTGTTTTCCACAAAATTATTTTTCTCTAGGATCAAGTAATAATAATTTGTACACTAGTGAATTATATGGACAGTTCAAGAAAGACTCAGGCAAAGTAATATGATCTATTGGAAAAGGCACCAAGTTTGGAGTCAAACAACTTGCCTTTGAATCCCAGATTGCCACTTAGCAGCTAAGTTACGTTAGGTAAGTCACTATTTTTTCATCTGTAAAATGTAGATCATAATACTTTTGGGGTTATTGTGAGGACTAAGTGAAAACACCTAGAACAGTATCTGAATCACAGTAGGTGCACAAGAAAAGTAAATTGAATTAGAATTCATTCATTCATTCTCCATTCATTAAAGTTCAATTCAGCTGGAATGTCAGGTGACAGTGGGAGAAACATTTGAAGAGTTAACACCAAAGTTTAGGCATTGTTCTTGCTAAAAGCTTTGTACTTACAGAGTATCTACAAATAGTAAAGCAAGAAAATCATGAAGTGTTTCCTCCTCTCTCGGAGAGTTTTATTATGATAGCATTAACCAGGACATATCCTTCTGGCCTCTAATGCAAAGGTAACAGATGACCCCAGAGATGTCTCACTTTAGTAGTATTTAATTGTCTATTACATGGTATTAATCTCAGTAAGTTTTAGACATTCCAAAGATGAACGTCTACCTTCTCAAGATTAGGAAGTAAATGGTGCTGCTTAATATAATAGGAAGCCCATCTCCCCAGTCCTTCCCTTTCAGCAAGGTGTCCGTGAGGCCCTGAGCACTACAGCCAGAGCTGGGACTCCTGGGAGACAGGGGCATGGCCTGAGTGCAGTCATCCCCTCAGTGTGGTGACAAGGTGCATCCCGATCCCAGGAAGGGAGGGAGAGTGGAGGAAACTGGATTAGGGATGCAGGAGACAGGAAGTGACAGAAGAGCTGTAGGCTGAGAAGAGTGGGCCCTGCCCAGACACGGAGAGCAGGAGGGATGCGGTTCACCTCGGTACCCACACAGCTCCTCTCAGCCTCCCAGGGCAGTGCTACCTCACAGAAAAAGAAGGAACCGCCGATTGAACAGCCAGAGTGGGAAGCTGGAAGGCCAATAAGATAATCACTTCCTTGAAAGCAATGACATTGTGTATGAAAAGACAAGAGTGGAATTCAGAGCCTGACAGCTAGGTTCCAACTGGGATTCTGTTGCTTTACTGCCTGTGCAACCTTGGCGAGTCTCGGACCTCTCTTTTGGTAAACAAGAATAATATCAACCACGAAGAGTTATTGGTGGGATTACAATAGATGTGGGAAAGCACATCAACTCGATACAGATGATACATAAATAATTATAATAATTTTTGTTTTGTGTCTCTCAATAGCAGTTTTCTGTGCAGAGCAAGCTTCAAAAAAATACTCTTTAATTGATAAAACTTTGGGTCATTAGCTGGGCAATGGAGATGGATTGCAATGTAGAGTTATCTTTTACATGATGTCAGGGTTGATTAAGAAAATATTTTAAATTTATTCTTACGTGCAATGAGGGTCCCACAAAGGTCGCTTGGTAAAGTCGGACAAGAGATGGTAAACCAAGTGGGCTGGTCTTTTCACATGCTTTTCAACCCAAATAGATAAAATATCATGCTCTTCCAGGATATATATTTTTATCTAACAAGATAACAAGAAAAAATAAATTATAAAAGAAGAATTGATGCATTTACTTTAAAAACCACAAACATAAATATGTAATCATAGGTTGATTGCACTACCCAAGGCATCTTGGCACCTGGATAAGAAGAAGGCAAACGACGGACGGCACATTCATTTCAAATGCTTAGATGTCTAGAGCTCTGACCAGGATGCTATACTCCTGTGTCCTGTGTCTCCAAACAATATGCAACTTGAGGGGGAGGTTATTTAATTATTATGCAGCAGTTTTTCTCATGAAAAATAAAGAATGTAAGCCTTTCTCTCTCTGGGATGTGTCCCCGCCTCCACCCAGAAACAACAGAAAATATCACCAGACTGATAGGCAAGTCAGTGCCTCATCTCCCCCTGAGACCTTGGAACCAAGGCTACAGTCTAGGATACTTTTCCAGGATGTCAGGTGTGCCTTCAAGCAGGCTGAGGGGACCCAGGAAGCAAGCTAACCAGCTCTAGAACCAACTCAACCTCTTAACAGGGCTGCCGAAGGCCCATACTTCTTTCATCTGGGAATCACAAGGGCTCATCCTCCCGGGAGGCCAATTCCTGGGTTTCTGACGCTTATTACTCCTTAGATAAGTAGATAAGAGGAGGCTTGTCTTGGGGAGCCACTTGACACATATTAAACATCAACGTATCCCTTGTTACTCTGAACTCTCCTTCTACTGTGCTTTTGCCAATAATCAGAGGTATGTGTTCAGCTAAGAGCACATTTCTATCCCACCCATTTTCTCCATCTCTTTCAGGGGCTTTGAAGTTAGTGTTGAAATTTGCCATCTTATAATCATTCCCATGGCAACAAGCTGTGAGAAGACAAACAAACATAGAGTTAAGACTTCCCTGCAGGAATCAAGCAGATGGAAAAGTCAGGCTGTGAGGGAGGAAACCTTTACTTAAACATAAATATCCTCAAGAGGAGAAGGAAGAAATGAAAAACTGACTAAAAGCAGCTTAAAAAGGAAAGAGGTGACTATTTGCTTATGCCATTTTACCTCTCCAATGGACCTCTGGGCCAAGCCTGTCTTTAAATCGAGCCCACAAAGGAGGACATGCCGTCCGAAGGCTGTGTGCAGTTATCAAACAGAAAGAAAACCATGCATGGGGCTCCAGTTGGTGGCTGACACTCACCTCAGCTTGGACGTGCCTAACTCTGTGCCTTGTACAGCAGGAGTAGAAGGAGGTTCGTTGGTGTAAATCCAGAGGGAAGTCACCTTATCAAAGCCTGGTGGCCGTCTGGCTCTGAGCCAGACGGCTGGGGCCCTGAAATCTCAGAGGAGGCAAGGGTGGGCGGCCAGGGTGAATTCCACAGTCTCTGTCAGACTCTGGCATTGGGGCAGCCTTGGTAGAACAAGGGTGGAGTAGGGTGTAATTTTGGGCTGAGAACTTGTTAAGGGTTGAATTACATCCCCAAATTCATCTGTTAAAGTTCTCACCCTCAGTGCCTCAGAATGCGACCTTATTTGGAAACAGGGTCATTGCAGATGTAATTAGTTAAGATGAGGTCATACTGGAGTAAGGTGGGCCCCGAATCCAATATGACTAGTGTCCTTATAAAAAGGGGAAATTTGGACAAAGACATGCACACTGGAAGAACGTCATCTGAAGATGAAGGCAGAGATTGGGTGACACATCTACAGGCCAAAGGACGCCAAAGATTGCCAGCAAACCACCAGAAGGACAGGCCTGAAACAGATCCTCCCTACTCCCTTAGGAGGAATCAACCCTACCGACACCTTCATCTCAGACTTCCAGCTTCCAAAACCGGGAGACAGCACACTTCTGTTGTGTAAGCCACCAAGCTTGCAGGATTGCCATGGCAGCCCCAGGACATGATTAGTGCACACTTCCAGGAAGCGGCTCCCCAGGCTGCAGACACATGCCGCTGCTTCCGATCCTGGAGCCAAAGTAAACGTCATGCTAAATAGCCACCACTAAATTGTGCCCTTCGAGAGCTCGCAGACTTAGCCAGTGCCAAGTACAGTATTGGATGCGTGAATGATATTTTGATCCTTCCCCAGCAGGGGAAGGCAGCAGAAAGTCCTTCTCAATGACACTGATGCAGACAAGGAAAGGCAGTGGTTGGTGCTGGCTCTCTTTAATCCCTACTCTCTTCGAAAAGCCAACCTTTGCTTAGTGAAAAAATTCTCCAAGACCAACTCTCCAAGAAAACGAGTTCCCTTTCATGCTCGGAAGAATACAGATTAAATTCCATTTGTAACCAACTCAAACGTTTTATCATTTGGTGCCTGGAGAATTTTATTCTATGAAAGGAAGCTTAAAGTAAGTAGGCTCAAACTACTGGAGCTTGCTAACATTTTATTAATGATATTGTTTTTTCATTCTAATAAGATTCTGTTTAATGGATTTGGATGTCTTATACAAATAGCACAAGAGGAAATAACTCAAAGTTTTAGAATTTTATACTATCTGTTGACCAGTGTTATTGAGACTACATTGTGGGAAGGAAGATAAAATTGGGTTTTACAGAGGCCCAGGGGGAGGTTAACTTTCCTTGGAGGTGCCTGGGGGTTTACTCTGGGGACTATAGTGACAAGACATGGGCAAGCGGAGCTCTGGGACCAGCCCCTCCCCAGCTTCAACGAGAACAGCCCCCTCTGCTCTGGTTCCCATATGGGGTTTCCTCCTGTTTAATGGTTTTCAAGTGGTCCTTGCCATTTGGGCTTTCACCATCATGTTTCCAGTACACTCGCAGCTACTTCCTAAATGAAAAGCTGCTCCAGTTAGGCCTGCTCCCACCCATGCTAATTTCTACCACAAAGATTTGGCTCAAGCTACTCACTGCCTAGAAGCCTCTTTACCCCTCCAGCAATCTACTCCTCACTCTATCTTCAAGGAGAAAAGAATGACCCCCTCTCCAGAGTTCTCTCTCAGTAACTGTCTTCCCCTTCTTTTATTTCCTAGGAGCTGGCTTTTATGGTTTAAACACTATAATCTCTCGCTCGTTTATAAAGTACCTTAAAATTATTCTTCAGCTGTTTCATGTATATGCGTAATGTTTTCAAAATAGATTACAATCTCCTTTAAGATAAGGGTACATGTTTTGCTCCTTGTATTGCTATTACTATTTCCATCATTATACACTGAAAATGAAAGATGGGTTAAAACAACAAGTACTGTCCAATTTCATTACAAGCACCAGAAATCTTAGACTTTTGAAAACTAACCAATTTATCTCAAAAATAAGTACAGATTTGGGGCCAGACCGGTGGCATACTGGTTAAGTTTATGCATTCCGCTTTGGCAGCCTGGGGTACACTGGTTTGGATCGCAGGCACAGAACTACACACCACTCATCAAGCCATGCTGTAGAAGCGTCCCACATACAAAATAGAGGAAGATTGCCACAGATGTTAGCTCAGCAACAATCTTCCTCAAGCAAAAAGAGGAAGATTGGCAACAGCTGTTAGCCCAGGACCAATCTTCCTCACCAAAAAAAAAAAAACCAACAAAACAACAAAGTATAAATTTTAAAACCTGAAATAAGTATGATTCTTAACAGACAGTTGTGTTGTAAGAATCACTCAACTAAAGGGAGACAAAAAAAATGAGTGAGCTGTATTTAAAAATTAAAAGCATATAAAACCTTTAAAAAGTGGGAGAGAAGAGGCAGATAGCAGAAAGAAAAAAATCAGATTTTTGTCATAATCTAAAAAGAAAAGGGCTTCAGATTCAACAGATAACATAAGAAGGTTCCTTTAATTATACATTATCCTTTAATAAGCATCTGTACGAAAATTAAGAATTAATTATTGATGGCTCTCCTAAGACAATAGCAAATACTCCATCTATTTGTTTAGGTTTGTTTCTGGTCCCAAACTCCCAAAGAACAGAAGTTTTAATATATTATACAATTTCAGTAAATATGTTCTCTTCCTTCACTCCGGACATGTTTGTCCTTTCCAACACTATTCAGGAATGCTGAGATGCCAGCACTAACGCAAGAAGCAGATTTCGTATTAGTGAAAGAGAACAAAGTCTTGAAGCATCTTTTATGAGAGAGAAAGAGAAACAAGTAACTTTGTTATGTTAAGCCTGTGTTTCTGCCTCACTGAACCAAGCTCAGATGGAAACCTAACTGGATCCTGAGGGGGCAGGGAAGACTTTGAAAGGATTCAGAAGTGAGGACAAAGGTGGAATAAAAGCAAACAACCCCAAACAAAACAAAGTCAGAGTTGAAAATAATCAGTGAAATAGCACTTAAGCTTGCTTGATTTCAGCGTAAATGATCATATAATTTATCATCCAAACTAGAACAGCAAGTGCCGCTAACCATTATGACGGGACAAGGCGAGTAAACCAGGACTGTCGCAGGAACACCAGGACACATGGCTACCCTATTTTAGAGGCTACTACTTCATTATGATGAAAAACAGGACACACTGGGGGCGGGCCCTGTGGCCTAGTGGTTAAGTTCGGTGCACTCCGCTTTGGTGGCCCGGGTTCAGTTCCCAGGCGCAGATCGACACCACTCCTTGGTGGCCATATTGTGGCAGCAACCCCCACAGAAAATAGAGGAAGACTGGCACAGATGTTAGCTCAGGGCAAATCTTCCTGAAGCAAAAAGAGAAAGATTGGCATCAGATGTTAGCTCAGGGCGAATCCTCTTGAGAAAAAACAAAAACAGAAAAACCAGTACACACTGAACTGTGAACACAGACAAAAAGCTGGCATCATTGAGCATCTTCTGAGCGCCAGGCACTGCTCTGTTCTGGGACTACAGTGGTGAGCAAACAGCCCTCAGAGAGCTTACAGTCCAGTTAACGTGGGCATCAGCTCACAGGGTCTCCTGACATACCTCTGAAATTAGATAAAACTAACATCCGAAAGACATACATTTATTTAAATTTGATGACATGCAAAACACTGTAAAAGGTGCTAAGAGAGACACAAACAAGTCAAGACAAGTCTCTCTCTTAAGAAGTTTATAACCTAGTTAGGGAAAGAGATCATGTGTAAAAAGCTAAATTACTACGTAAGACTTAAATATCAATTCAACATAGCTATGAAGAAATGTCACAAGGTAGTGCATAATTAATTGACAAATTAATTTTAAAGAAGTAATTGCTAAAGGAGTTCCTGGAGGGAGAAGTTCCCTCAGCCAGGGGTGGAAGGAGTGGCTTTATGGAGAAACGTTTCTCCTGGGAATCGAAGACCAAGTAGGATCAGGGCAGATGGAGAGGAGGAGAGAGGGGTAGGACATGACAATTAAGCTCAGGTGTAGGAATGTGCAGGTGTATTTGAAGGACCCCAAATCAGTTGGTGTGGAGGAGTAGAGACAGGGCTGGAGAGATACTTGACTCTTGGAAACAGTTTCCCCACGGGGTTTTTCACCTTCTCAAAAGCAGCAGAAACACCACCATCAAGACAACTTTCACTTGTGATGGACCGTGGGTTGTGCGCACCCCTGGGTGCCTCCTACCTTTTCTGCAGCACTGATCACCTCCCAACCACTTTTGGCCGCCAGCTTTTTGAGAGCCTCCACATTGCCATGACTCAGGGCAACCTAAAACACAAGTATTTTAAAGTGGTGAGCTCAACGCACAGACATGATCAAATATCTTCTGTTTAGAAAGTGGGCACTGTGAGAGCCAAAGTGATAAGGTCGAGCTTAGAACTAAGCTAGAGGTAACATGATTTCTGTCTCAAATGCATAATTCAGAATTCAGGCAAGGTAACACGAGGCATGCACACTTAGCAAATTAGGATCATTTTAATTGGTGTCCTGAGCGAAGACAAGATTACCCTTCAATATGACTTGTAATCAACATGTAATCAGTAAACTTGGATTTCTCTGTACATTTTATGGTCAAAAACATTAAAACCACTAATACTCTGTTGCTATGTTATAAAATGGCAAGCTGGTGGGCACGTCATTCAGCACAAATCACAGTAAGACAACAGATCTCAACATCCCGTGCTGCGTGAATGCATTTGATGGCAGAGCAGCCCGAGTCTGCAGTTTGAGCACTGTACATATAATTCAAACAAGACAGTGAAGCAATTGGTTGGTAACCAGTTGCCAAGAACCTGGTTTTGTTTTATTTTGCGACGACTGGCTGCTATAATTCACCTTTTCATCCAACCTGTGTAGGCACAACCTGAACCAGTTAAACAAGGGGATTTCCATTTTTGTAATGATGCGATTTTTACATGAAGAGTTCCAAATCATAAAGCTGTCACCTGCTTGCCAGTATCCCAGTGTACGCAAAATGGAATCTCTTCTTTGTGGGAAATAACATATTTTCTGGAAAGAAAAAATTAAAGTGTTGAATAACAGTTTTCTTCTGTGCATTTAGCACACAACAGTAACTCTAACTCTTTCTTGAACTGAAAACAGCAGTTTTAAAAAGCTGCTTTTACTGGTGGAACAATCAGGAAGAAGAATTTCCATCACAATAGCCTCGACACTCAGAAAACATCAGACCTTCTCTTTTTACATTACAGGGGAATAGGGACCCAGAGAGGGGGTTGTGTAATTTGTCAGATAAGAGAAGAGTCCATAAAATCTTTGTACCTTTGTCCCTTACCTGCCTAGGCGAATTCTCTTGCGTGCAATAGCTCCACGATATCGTCTAAAATCATCCTTTAATTAAAAAAAGTAAAATCAATAAATTTCTAAGATTTTAGTGCTACAATCCTTAAGTTTCTCTCTCCTAAGTCAGTTGGAAAGGTTAATTGGGACACAGTGTCTCTGCGTGAACTATCCTCAGGTGAGAGTTGGCAATAAGGCAACTCCAGGACGCGAGGAAGACACCGTTCCCAAGACTGTGGCGCAGCATAGAGAACTGGATGTAAAGGGGAGAGAAGAGTCCGAAATGGGACACAGAGGGTGATCTGCTTCCAACAGCAGCGCTTGGCCAAGTGGAGGTAGAGTCTTTGCAGCCATCACAGGTCAGTTTGCACTGGCCCTATTGTAGCAATAACAAAATACCAAAGTTATCTTGCAGCGGCAATGAGCAAAAACGCAAGTCATGTAGCTGGAACATGTGCACAGGATGGAAACTTTGTCCTCAGATGACCTCGAGCCATCTAGGAACCAAAAGTTTAAGTATGGAACTCAGTGGGATGAGAAAGTGGTGCGGGGAACCTAATGAGAAGCAAGGGGTCCCTTGGTTTACAGCACATAGGACGTAGAAGACCCTTACACTCGACCATCCAATTAGACTCTGCCAAAATAGCATTTGGCATAACCCTGCCCACTCCCAACTCCTTAAAAGTCTATCCCTGCTTCCGATCAAGGAGATGGATTGGGGCTTTGCCTCCTGTCTCCTTGCTGGTTGGCCATGCAATAAAGTTGTCTGTTTTCTCCAAAGCGAGTGCCGTAGTATTGGCTTCTCTGCACGTGGGGCCCTTGCTTAGTAACATCTTCAGGGCCTTCATCATTTCAATGAACGATTAGAGTGGTTTGGGAAAAAAAGGAAAAATCTCATTCTACTTTGTGATGCAGAAAAGAAAGAAAACCAAACGAGAATAGCCACGGAAGTTGTTGGTGTGAGGAGAGATTCTGGGTAGACCTCTGTACCCGCACCTTCCCCCAGAATAAGCAGTCTGATTACTGAAGCTCACATGCTTATAACTGACCTTTGACATGGGTTTGATTCTGGGAAATGTGACCAGTTCTTCCTTATCATTGACAGCATTATAGATGAGAAAAGCACTGTTGATGTGGCGGCCCTGGCCCTCAGACCACTCCTGGCAGTCAAAGGCCTCCACGCGCACTCCCACTTCAAGGGTGCAGAAGGTGACACAGGGCAGCGGGCAGAGAACCAGGTCACACCAGGCCTCCTCTGCCCCTGCCCCTACCAAGCAGGGAAGAGAATGCGGGTCGGGAGTTTTTTCTTTGTCATCTGCAAATCTATGCAACTGTTAAAATCCATTTCATCAGGCCAATGGTCTGATGTACAAGCCTCTGGGACCAGTTCCGCTTACTTTCCCACTTTGAAGTGGGGAAAAAAGCCAGTGGGACTTTATACATTCATGAACGTATTTTGGGGAGGCATATTAAATTGTGCCAAAGTCAAGTTTTCTCTTCTAAAAACAACAGTTTTGTAATTAAAAAGCATCAAACACTGAAATTGGACAGGAACTATAGATATTCTTTTTTACATTTAAAAAGAAAAAATACTAAATGAAATCTTTTCATTGTGTATGAAGAGTAATAAAAATAACTGGGAAGTACTTTGGACTCCATGTTGGTAAATGACAGGTCCATTATGAACTGGTTGACCACATAGTCACCGGGACTCTTTTGAGAGTAGAAGGAAGAGTTAACTATGACAGGGACAAACTAGAACCATCCTGGGCCACCTGGGACATACAGTCACCCTTATTATGAAACAAAACCCAATCTATCACAATTTACTCAGGGTAAGGAGGCCTCAAGCAGAACAGATGGTTAAAATGTGTGTCTATGGAGTTTGAAGATTGAGTGAAGTTTCAAAGAAAAATTAGAAGGAACTTGCTTACTTTAACGTAATCCCTATGCTCACCTCCAGATTGAAGTAAAAATTTTAAAAAATCAATTATGTGCACGTTTGTATTCGTTTACAGCAACCTAAGAGCACTAGAGAGGCTTTACCAGGTCTGAAATGTATTGTTGACAATGGCGTTGAAGACAAGGCGATCTCCCACTGTAGATGGTCCCCGGAACTTAAACATGTCCACGGACTTCAGAAGGGGGTGTGCTCGACAGAGGCGGCTGATGAAACGAAGGGAAGGAGGGAGAGAGAAGACAGTGATCATTCTCCAAAATATTTTCAGGAACTGCTGATTCACTTAACGGATGCAATAGACCAGTGCTCAGTGTGCTTTCTACATAAACACCTCTTCTAACTCAAGAGTGAAATAAATAACCAGATTGTGTATGTTGAGAGTGGTTCTGTACACTACTTGCAAATATTATGGGAAATACCATGTCCCCAGGCCATGGGGTCTTCAGCAAGATGCTGGTGCTTCTGCTCTTGTTTTGTTCCCTATGGAAGTTCCTCCAAAAAGCAAACCAATGTCTTTCGTTCTAACTGGAGGGTGTTCATCCTGACAGCTCATGACTGCAATCATGGAAGCTGTGACTCCCAGGTTGGAGTGGGACACAGTGAAGAGAAGTGCCAGTGGTGCCATTCACACTAGCTCCTTAGCTGCACAGTTAACTGAATTCACCCACATATCAAAAGCCTAATTTTATTCCCTACAGAAAAGTTACCTGGATTGCTACACAAAGCCTGAAAGGCTACAGGTCTATGTTTTACAATTCTGGTGTGTGTGAAATTTTGAAATATCTATAATGAATATTTAATCTTAGAAAGTTACTTCCATAATTTTCTATATTTTAGACTCCCACTGTAGTCATTCAATTACTCTACAGAATTGTGCCAACACTAAGTGGACAGATTCTGCCATAGTTAATTACGTGGTAAGCCTTTACAATAGAACAGGTTCAAATGCTTTATGGTCATTAAGAATGACAATCTCATTTTAAGAACAAGCTCTGTTATATTTGTGCGTAATTTATAGGAAGGATAACTACAGGTTTCTAACTATAGTCATAACTATAGACACATTAATAATAAAATTCTTTTAATTTTGGGAAAATAAAACCTTAACAGTTTTCAGTGGTTACAAAGATTGTCAGAAGGGCAGATCCTGTTCAAATGCATTTTCACAGCACACACTGTTCTTTAAAGCTGCTCAATTGCCTACCTAGTTCTATTAAGAACAAAATAACCTTTTCTGAAACTGAGGACCATTTAAAAGTATTCTTTCAAGTTCTTCCCTCTTTCTTATTTTTCGGCTAATCCTTTGGCATAACAATCCCAACCAGCACCTTCAAAGGTCAGACCTAATTGTAAACTGCCTTTAAAAAAGTTTGAAACTCGACTATTTTTAAGCATACAGGCTGTCTTCTATTTCTATTCTGCATCTATTTTGTTACAAGGCGTTGCAGTGTCACAAGATCAACACTCATAATTCAGAATAAAGTATTAGAACTGTCATTTCATTTTTATTGTTGAACCAAGAACCAAAACATTCACCCTCAAACAAAAGGACAGATTAATCCTAAAGTAAACATGTAAGTGACTTATCATTTTCTCATTTTGATAATAGGCAACATTGTCCTCTCCTTGTCGCCCTTGACTCAGACCCTTCCTATTCTCTCCCTCCTGGTCCCAACACCATATGCCAAAGGTCAAAACCAAGAACCTTGCAGAAATAGTAGCCACGGTCTCCATCCAAGCCATAATCTGGCCACCAAATGTGTTTCCATGATGGTTAGCATGGGGCGGGAGGACAAGTTCAATGCTCTGAACAGAGGTGCCCCTCGTGGAGACCGTGCCATCCTCTTCTCTCCAGATGGGATCTGAAAAGCGGACGTGAACATTAACAATGGAGGAGTCAACCGCAGAACCTTCCCAACAGCACACTCAACTCATGGGATTTTTAGAAAAATTAAATTATTCCAAAAGATTTACAACTCTTGAGGAAATAAATAGGTTTGATTCTACAGTGTGAATTTCATCGGACAGGTGGCTATTTACAGTGAACTGGATAAGATAACAGATCAAAAAGGGCTTTTTAGAGATTGTATTCCAACATATCTTACAAGTCTGTCGAATTTTGATTAAAAGAATGATTACATTTAAACTGGAGTTGTTTGGGATGGAGGAAGGGCAGGGAGCGGAGGAAAGAAATTTGAGGATTGATGAATATGTCTTTATCTTGATTGCAGTGATGGTTTTATGGGTGGATACGTGTCTCAAAACTTATCCAACTGCACACTGTAAATATGGGTCATCTATGGTATGACAATAAAGTTGCTAAAAAGGAAGGAATTCAAGCTATAAAGGACCGCAGACACTGAGAATCTGGAATAGTTTGCTGTCCTATCAATTTCAGAGTGGGAATGTGGCTTCCCGCGGTTCCTGTTTTCTAATGAATGAAGCCACCAACAGAAAAGACACAATACATTGTACTTCTCAGTGTCCTTCTCCTTTTGAATCATATCTGCTTCATTTACTGACAAATTGGGTTTTTACTGTCAACAATGGAGGAATCATTTACTCTGGCTGCAAAACAGTAAAATGTATTCAATTTTACTTCCTGCATCAAGTGAATCACCAGCGAGGCTTAAATCTCATGCGCTACTGTTGAGGAGGTGGAGGAGGACTTACAAATCAGGGGGGCCATCCCGGTGTACTGTGAGAGGCAGGGCCGAGCTTGCAGTGGCAGAGCACATGAGCGCTCGGCTGTTGTTGGTAACTGGGAATGGGGCCATTCTTGGCATAGTCACGTAGAACTGGGCAAAGCAGTGCGGTTACAGAGATTTTTAACTCCATTTCCTAACAGAATTTTTAGAGTTATAATTAATTGATGGTCTTTTTCTTTTATGTTTTTTCTCCTTCATCCACTGATCATTTCAGTCAGTAACTTCCCATTGTCCTAGTCGAAAAGCCCAAATCCTCCCATGGCCCCAAGCCCTTCCTTCCTTGTCTGGCCCATGCCTGCTTCTCCTCTCCAGCTAGTCTGACTGCCACTAGCACCCCTCTCTCCCCCATCCTGTTTTCTCTCAATCTTTCCCTTTGTTCCAGCCACACTGGCCTTTTTTCAATTGTCGCAACTAAATGTTGTCTTCCGCATCAGGGCATTTGCACATGTTGCTCCCTTTATCCTTGGCGACTGCTTTGACCACCAGCTCCCCCTCCTTCTACTTACCTCCCCTTCTCTCTTGGCTCCTCTCAGTCACCACTTCCTCAGGAAAGCCTTCCCTGACCCACGGCTGGTTCCCACTCTTATGAGCTCTCACACGGACCTTCCTTTCACAGTTATGGTTTATAGTTGATTTGAGTGATCTTTGATTATCTGACCCACTAGATCCTAAGCTCCTTTGAACAAGGACTGATTTTTTTTATTCTAACATAATCCCTAAATAGGGGTGCTCAGTAAATGTTTATTGAATGAATGAATGGATGGATGAATAAACCGACTTTGCTGATTTATTCCACCTTCATAGTCCTTACTATCAACAGAATATTTTTAGGTAACAAATGATCGTACTGATTTACATGTCTGCCTGCTGTTTATTAGAGTTCCCACTGCTCTCCATTTTCACATACACTGGATTGTAGACTCTTCAATTTTTTCCAATTTCCTGGGTGTGAACTACTATCTCATGTTGGTTATAATTTGCACTTTCTTGATAAGAATGAGGTCCGTCTTTTCATATGTATATTAAACTTTCTTGTTACCTCTTAATGACATGTCACTTCCTCAAATGTTACTCTCTCCCAGTTTTTTCACCCTCTCCTGGAGCTTTGATTAGATGCTTGTTAGACTTCTTACTCCAGATTTTGTCTCCTAACCTTTCATATATTTCCCATTTCTTTGCCTATCCATCTGCCTTCTAGGTAACTCCTTCAGATCTGTCTTCTAGTTCACCATCTTATCTGCTGTTTAATTAATTCATAGAGTTTTAAATTTTAATTATTATATATTCTTTTTGTATAGAAATTCTCTTTGTTTCTTCTTCACATCTTCCAGGTCATTTGCTTGTTCCAGCGTAATACTTTTGATACTCTTTATTTCTTAAACTATATTAACATTCTTGCTTCATGTTCTTTATAGGATAAATGCAACATCTGTAGTCTTTGTGGGCCTCATTCTATTGCCTGGTGCTTCTTCTGGACTTTGGTGACTTATTTATTTTTATCTTTTATGATTTTTGACTAGAAGCCCCAATTCCTTGGATCTCTATCTGTGGGAATTCTTGAGGGATGGACTTAAAGTCATTTCTCCACAGAGAATTTGCCTTTGGCGCACAGATCTCCCCGGGGCCCCACAACATAGTACCACTTCCCACTAAATCTCACTTGGTCGGTTTCAGGCCGAACAACTAATGTGTATTCTGACACCAAATCTGCATGAGAATAAGCTTGTGATTGAATTCTCAAAGGGAAACACTCTTTTCCATTTAACCTACAGCCACGGCTGGCTGAGACAGGAAAGCATCTCACCAGAGCTCTCTGATGGGTGGCACTTTCCCAGCTGACCTACTGAAGGTGTCATCTTTGGAGGTTGCAGCTCCAGGTACGGTTCCCTGGTTCCACCTTCCAGCTCACGTGAGCCCCTGGCTTTGTCTCTGGAGCCCTTGCAGGCGCAGTAAAACACAGGCTCCAGGTCTCCTGGCACCCACACGGCCCTCCCGGGCAAACGCCAGCTCTGTGTCTCCTTACACTGCTGCATTTGTGTTTTCTAATCATTTCTGGACTTCAAGCTTTTCTCTTATTTTTCTGCTGCAGAGATGTGTTTGCAAAGATGTTTGTAAATATTTTATCCAGAAATTTTAGTTTTTTTCCAGACACCGAGTCCACCATATTGCTGTAATCAGAATTGGATTGCTTCCTAAAGTGATGTTGAAAAGGCATATGAAATCTTAAACTCCTTCCAACTTCTCTCTCTCTGTTTTAATTACTGATCTTGTTAGATGATGTTCTATAAATATCCAAAATTAATATTGATTTCTCAATACATTTTTTAGGTTAATTTCTCTTACTCAAATGGTACTTTTTTTGTTCAAAATAAATTAGTGTAAACTTTCTCTAAAATATATTGTTAAATGAAAAAAAGAAAGGTGCATAACTATTTGAATATTGTGCTCCTGGTTAGGTGCTAGTGTCTGTGTGTGTGTAACAGTGCTTGTCTTTAAGGATAGGAACCCAGTAAGTGGGAGACACGGACAGTAGAAAGACTTACCTTTTAACTGAATCCTCGCTTATACCTTTTGAATTTTTCACTTGTGCATGTGCACTACTATTTTTAAGTAATTTAAAAATAATTATAAAATAAAATTTAACTAAGAGAGGGACTTATAGTGTGAGATACACTGTACAGACTCAAATATAAGGCAACTCCTTCTTTTCTGAGGGCTAACTTTAAAGAAAAAGCTACTTGATTCCTATAAAGATATACACGGCATACACTGGGATCCATAGGTGGGTCCCAGGCAGGTCCTACGTGCATAAGCATCAGTTATGGCATGTATGCAGAACTATCCTCAGGATAGGTGACTCCGGTGTGGAATCGTGCTTATTTGCAGGTAATTGCCAATCAATGGAGAAACAGGGCTCTCTCAGGTTCAGAGATTAATTCAGGCTCGCAGCTCTGGCTGTGTACCCAAGTCCAACACAGTAAACAGACCTCACCCTTTCTGCAGGCTTCCAGACAGGGCATACTTCTTTGGTGGTCAGTTTCATTACTTGCACTTTGGTGTTCACTCAGTACTGTGTCATCATTCTGCTCGGACAATTTTACACTCATTCCACATTTTCAGGTCGGAACACTGACCTGAATTGAGGTCATCCTAGCCCTTGTTTTCTTTCTCCTAACCAGAAAGGATCAACACAGGACAATGCTCATAAAGACTGATTTCTCTCTGAAAAAATTATAATTAAAATGCTCAAAATCTCAAGAAAGACTGAAGTCTTTCGCGACATGCCAAGCTTCCACATTCCAGTGGTACAAGAGCACATTCCAAAGAAATTCTGTTTTTATATAATCTAATCCCATCTTTTCCCCTTTTCTTCTGGAAGCGTATGATTTGGGTTCAACTTTCAAATGCCTTTCAATCATACAACATCTTGAAACGGATTCCAGTCTTTTATGCCTGATATTACAAGCCATGTAGAACCCTGGTTTTTCTAAAAACATGGCTCAATAACAAAAATGCTCTAGCTGTCTTCCTTTAGAACATACTGTCCAGCTGAGAACAGACTCCATCAGGTCCACGGGGGGCACGTAGACAAACCGCACACTCTGTGGCAACTTTAAGTTCCAGGGTGTGGCTCTTACATTCCTAAGAGAAATTGCTTTTAAGTTCTGTGGTACCTTTGGTGGCAATGGAAGCTAGTAAAATTTCTAAAAAGAAGATCAAATCAATGAAGTCAGGTTAAAAGTTGTTTTGTGCAAAGGAATGTGGAATAATCTATTTTGGATCAGATCAGATGAAACAGATGATAAAAACAGACTTTAAAAAATCTACAATTCTAAATTCAACCAAACATATAGATCTGATCTGCCCAACTTCCTAACAAACTGAAGCTGAAGTCAGTTTTAATCATTGTACCTCTGCATTTGAATGGCTGTAGCATGTGCCTGTCACTAATTAATTCAGAATGTCTCTAGTGCTCAAACTACTGTTGGTGTTGTGGAGACAGTATAGCAAATGGTCTTTGTTTATTAGTACAACTTGTACAACATCAGAAAAATCAATGCAGCCAGCCACGTCCTCCTGGCTCATGTGACCTTGGGTGGGGAGTGAAGGAAGCGCGCAACAGGCCTAGCAACGCTCCCTGCAGACCGACACTCAGGTCAGAGTAGCAGAGATCACCGTAAATTCTTCCCAAGACAAAGAAATCACAATTTTCTGGTGTCTTAAGTACAGGTTTGGCATCAATTATGTCTTTCTCTTATAATCAACCTCTTCCTCAATAATGATTTTTATCCACCAGCCTTGATCAGCCCATAACCATGACCAAATATTTCCCATCCTGAAAAATAATGCCCCTTTGACCTTGAGGGCCCCCTCCAGCTCCAGGCTATTCCTTCCACCCTTCACAGCCAAGTTCTTTGAAAGGACAGTTTTCAGCTGATGCCTCCAATCCTTCCTATGATGGGGACTTTTCAAATAATAACAATCACAGCACGTTCTGCACACCTGGCACTGTTCCAGGCAATCCATCTATATTAACTCATTTAATCCTCACACAAACCTATTAAATAAGTTCCTTTATTATTCTGACTTGATAGTTCTTTTTGTCTGTTTTTAACCTTGCCTCAGCGAGCTGAGAAAATCAGAGCAAAGTCAGTGGTTTGAGTATGGGGCAGCCAGTCCTGGGACAGGAAAATAAAAAGAGCAACTTCTGCTGGCCAGGGACCACGGGCTGCAAGAGGAAGTAGATGAGCCGCTGAGGACGCCCAAGTCTAGTGATCCAGCTCAGGAGTAAGGAAGCCAGGGAGGTGTGGGCACCCTGGGAGTCAGCGGGCCGACAGAAAGGCCCCTACTTCCCCTGGAGGAGCTGGGTCCAGAGACCAGAGAGGAGCAGGCCCCACTTCTGACGGCACGAGTGCAGGAAACCACCAGGAAGAAACTGAGTTCCTGTCACATGTCAGCTCTGCAGTGGGACACTTCCTGCTGGTCTGGATGGCACTTTGAGACCCCATTCAACGCTTCAGTTTCCCGAAAGCAGAGGCTCTGAAATAGCCAAGCTGCTCTAAGAGCTGTGGTGGCCACCATATCTCTCACCATCTACATCTTCTGCAGAGGACAACCCTCAGGCTGTCAGGGCTGGGAGGCTGGGGTCTCTACTACCTTCACCATCCACGGCATCCTGATGTGCCGTGGATGGTGCTTTAACAAAGCCTAGTGTCAAGAACGTTTAATTTGGAGGCGACTATGACAGAGAGGTTATAGTCAGCTGTTCCCCATCCAATGACATGGTGTCATCGGAATGTCTCCCTTTCCATATCTGATTTATTGCACTCATGCTTCCACTAATTCTGCTCTTGCCAAGGTCACCAATGATTTCCCTATTCCTAATCCGGTCAACTGTGTTTATTCTCCACTTCCTGGAACACAACTGACCACTCGTTCTTTCCTGTAACTCTACTCCCTTGCCTTGTGACACTACTCTCTCCAGTTCTCCATGTACCCCTCCCGCCAGTCCCTCCAGGTCTCCTTTGTAGATTCATCTTCCTCCTCTGATCATCTCTTAGATGGCCGTGTTCCACATGTTCTATCTCTGGGCCACCACCCTTGTGGCCCCGTGAACCCTCTCTGGGTGACTGCATGTACCATCTTTGTTTGAATTAACATCTGTAAACTGTTGTGTCTCAGATTTACTCTCCCCAGCCCCGGTCTCATGCTCTGGTTATTCCCCAGGCAGGTTCATCATCCACCTCATCAGAACACCCCCTCCCCTGGCCCCCATATTCATCATCTTAGTCCATGCTACCACTATTAATTAACTAGTTGCTCAACCAGAACCATGAGAGTTATCCTAGACTCCTTCTGCTTCCTCACCCTTCTCCGCATATCAGTGACCTCATTCTGCTCATTTTACCCCCGTACTTTTTCTGACTCCTTCCCTCCTCTCTCCCCCACTATCATTGCCTCGTGCAGCCACTCCTCACCTCTTGCTGGTCTCCCTCCCTCTACCCAGAGTGACCATATTGAATGCAAACCTAACCATACAACAACCCTGCTCAAATCTTCATTGGCTTTCATCAAGGACAGAAGAAACGTCAAGCCTCTTAGCATGGCCTAAGGGAGCCTCCAGGACACAGTCTCACCTTTTCGTGCCCTGCCTCCTTCCACTCTCAATTTTCTCTAGTCATGCTCTTGTTCTTATGGTTCAGCTATTTCATTACTTTAGTGAAATGCATTTGTAATATATTTTTTGGTACCAAGACCATCTTTACAAAAGGATGCACTCTTCTCAGCACAGCAATTTAATGACGAAGTCTTCATTTCCTTAAAAAATAACTTGGTAATGGGCATTGTCTTTTAAAAGGTCAGCAATAAATAGAAGCCTTTGAAAAATTCTTTTCCAACCCAGAGGTCCTCTGTGGGGTGGTCCCTGGACCATGGTGACGTCACATGGGGCAGAATAAAGCGCATGCAATCCATCACCCCTGCCTGTGCGCACCTCTCCCCTCTGGTCTCTGTGTGCCCTCTTCCTCCTTCCCCTCTTGCCACATTCTTATTCTGATTTTCCTTCCTCTTCCTCCTGAGTCTGCCTCCAGAACCCAGCGGAGCTGGACTTGGCTGAGGCTCCCTGCCCTCCTGGCAGTGGGGACACAGGGCTCCAGTTGGATCTCTCCACTGTCGCCCTCACCCACTTGGCTCTCCTTCACAGGTCATCTCCCCTGGGGCTGCAGGAGATGGGGGCAGACAGAAGGAAGGGCAGAGGAGGGGCAAGGCAGCCCTCTTTGCCGTGCCATTCTGGCCTCACGAGGCCTGACAGAGCCAGGAAATCTCTGCAGAGAACTAAGGAACTTTGACCCATCAAACAGGGTTACTGTGGAAGAACCAGGAAACAGGAGATGAAACTTACTGCTTCCATTCACATCCCCTGCGATCTTTAGCAAGGCTCTTCACAGCTCAGAGTTTCAGTTTCCTTTTCTGTCGAGATTAATGCAGCTCAGATGAAATAACAGATGAGAAACTGCTCCGTGAACTATGAAGTACCAGATGGATGTATGGCATTGTCATTCCTCATTCACTGATCCTTACTGAGCACACACATACTAGTAAGGACTGCCTGGTCCCGGTCGCCCTTCTCTCCCGTCTCCTCCCCTGGAGATCCTTCAATTTAAACAGGTCTTAGATGTCAGAGGTTATATTCTGAATGGCCAGCCCATTCCTTCTCCAGCCACTGGGTTTGTTGGACCAGGACTGAATCGTGGTCATAAGGTGAAATAAGCGTGCTCTAAGAAGACCCCTTCACTTGTCATAGTCATATAACTAAAGTTCCTACAAGTAGACTTACTGACCGTCAAACCTGCTACTTTCCTTCATCAAGTTTTTAAAGGTATCTTCATGTTGTAATCGAACTTTCCTTCTCTCAGAGGCCAGGTTATGTTGCACATGATCTTGTTCAGTTAGAAGCATGACTGGTTTTAAATGAATCTAGAGAAAGAAAAACATTTATCTTTCATTGCCTTGTTAAATTATAAAAGCACAACATGAATTTTGCAAAAACAAATGACATGGTACACTGTTTTCTAACTCAAAGTAAATGGAGCATTTGTGGATGTTTTTGCACACATATTATTTTGACTAAATGTTTTTTCTTAAAATATTTTTAAACTAAAAAATCAAATAGGCTTAATTACTTCTTCATATAATATGTGTTTAAAGTGCTTTCCAAATATTAATTTTCCCTGAATTTTAAAATTTTCAACAGAACTATAAAACAAGAAATTCTTCAAATTAATGAATGAGAAGAGGGACTTTGACTCCACCGACTTCTTACCGAAAACTGTTCTCTACCTTCTGCAAAATTAAGACATCAGAGGGAGGGAATAAAGATGTTCTAGAGAAAGCTATCACGTACCAAGAGATAATCCCAGTTTGGAAATTTCATCACATGGTGAAAACATTATCCAATAAGCAAAGAGAAAGAATCAATGTGTCAGAATAAAGCTTTAACTGACCTCCAGAAACCCAGAAATATGATGCAACAGAACCAAGAGCTCAAGCTCCTCCCGAAATGCCGGACTGCTGGCCCGTGTGTCCAAGAGTCACCTTGCAGCCGCACTGGGGTAGCTCCACGCTTATTTCCGTGACACCAAAGGCTGGGGCTGACCCTTGGCCCAGATATGGATGAAATAGCTAGCGATTTGTAATCTGCTGCTTAAAGCACAACTCCCCTGGTGTGTGTAGGACTTGTCTGGTGTGTGTAGGACTATGCAGACTGAGAGCTCGCCCTGGTTTAACACACGGCCTGGTTTTAGTTATGTGACCAATGGGGTATAAAAGACCACTTGGCAAACTTGTGCCTTGGCTCTCCAGTCCACTGGTGAAGTACATTTGTGTGACTGAAGAGGACCCTGGGAGCTACGCCTGGACGTCTTGAACTTCTCTGATGTCTGCCTGAGCTTTCTTTCTCCTGTGTACCATCTCCTTCGGCTTTAGTTAGGCCTTTCCTGAGCACGCCTTATGGGGTCTTGAGAGTCCTTCAATGATCTGGCCTACGCCTCGTTCATCATGTCCCGTCTCATCCTGGAATAAACTCACTTTGGACACAGATCCAGGTGGGGCTGTCGGTTCAAACCAAACCACTGATTTTTCACGGCTCCCTTCATGATGTGCTACTGAACAAGAATGATACTAACTGGAACATCATTAGTTCTTCAGGCTCAGCAGAGACTGGACTGAAGTGTGACTATTGTATTCCAATTCCAGGACTCCCTGAAGTTGGAGTGAGAAGTCTGAAGGTGGCGGGGGCGGGGAACAAATCATGGCCCTCATTTTCTCTTCTCTGTGAAGGAATAGGAAGGTGAGGTAGACTCCTTTCTACCGCTTTCTCTCAGATATAAGAACTCTGCACCCACCCTGTATGCTGTCATTCCCAAGAGTTTGGAGATTTGGGGGGATTCCAGGAACAACAGAATGGGTGGCAAGAGCTATTTCAAAGTCTTAGATTTTAGTGAAGGTAGAATCCCTGGGATACATTGTCAAAGTACAGATTCCAGGTCCCAATATGAGTGATTCTTTTTTTTTTCTCTTGCTGAGGAAGACTTGCCCTGAGCTAACATCTGCTACCAATCCTCCTCTTTTCGTATGCGAGCCACCGCCACAGCATGGCCACTGACAGACGAGTGGTGTAGGTCTGTGCCCAGGAACCAAACCCAGGCTGCCGAAGTGGGATGTGCTGAACTTAACCACTAGGCCACTGGGGCTGGACCCTTATATAAGTGATTCTAATTTAGTAGGTCTGAGATACAGCCCAGAAAGTTGCATTTTTATAATATACTAGCCGATATGAACTTCAGTTTGAAAAACAATCCCCTTGGGCAATGTGAATCTGCCTTGTGGCTTGTTTAATATTGGGCAGAGAATGGGAGAAGTGTCCCAGTGCACAAAACTCTGCAGGGACACCTGCCCCCCAGGCACCATGGAGGGCTAGCTGAGCCACGGCCCCTCACTGAGCCTCCAGGCCCTCCTGGGGAGTAGCTGGCGAGTGCCACTCTGCAGTTACCTCTGTTGGGTGCAGTGAAAACAGTGCTTTGTCCTGGCTCTAGAGCTGGAAGCAGCCTGAGGAAGAATACTTCTGCAGAGTGAGAAGCATTCCTTGCTGCTTCAAAGTGGAGCTGGGAGAAGCCACTGCGCCCACCTCTGGGGCGATCCTTGGAGTGAATGGTTTAAGTTCTAAACTGAATTATTTCATTTGAAAATGCTTAGACTAAATGGGGACCCTCCTCCAGGCACCCTGACCCTAAAAAGAAAAGCTGAGAGATGATAATGAGTAAATCCCCAGCAGACTCCTTGCCGGGCATGCACACCAGGCCAACATATTTCTTTAAGGGTGTTTTTACCCCAAATGCCCTGGAGCTTATTTCTAAACTTCAATAACTCAGAAACGTTGACATTCTTCCTTCAGGTATGAAAAAATGGTTGGACCATTACATGCAGCTGCTAGCTAAATTGCTCTTGCTGTTTTTTAAAAAAAATTTTAACTCAATTTTGAGTTAGATAACCACACAAAAAAAGAACTAAACCAGTAGGCAATATTTTTAAGGAACTGATATGACCTTCAGATCATTTAAAACACAATGTTTCTTTCCTCTTTCACAAACTGGCTACATCTCTTCTTTCCAAGGTACTTCATACTATGATATTACCACAGAACAAAGCTTTTATGATAAATATTGGGGAATAACAAATCTTGGGAAAGCATATCTCACGGTAACAAGAAATGTCCATTTTCTGTAACGATTCTGCTACATTTGTTAACATGACCCTGAATTACATGCTAGATACCTCTTCGCACAGAAAGTTTACCTTTTCCTTTCCAGCTGGTTTGGCTACAAATGTAGAGAAAGCCACACTCACAAGTTTCTCAACGCCAGTGAACACGTCCTGTACTACAACCTTGATGCTGATCTAAAATGAAAAAAACAAATAAATAACCTTTCAGCCATCCAGATAACAGATGAGACCGTGGCATTCAAAACTCAGCTATGCACTTCACCATTCTCTTCTTTTGTTTTTTGAATAAAACCAGCATTTTAGTTTACTTTTAAGCATTACTGTTCTTTCCATGATGTTCTCTAAAATTGGAAAAATCACCTTTCTGATTATAGAAACGTATATATTTATCATGGAAATTTGGTAATTTCCAATTACCATTTAATTGGAAATATAAAAAGAGGTAAATGATTAAATTGAATCTGACTGTCCAGAGTAAATATTATCAGTAATTCCACCACCCAGATTAATAATTATTAACCTTTAGGTGAATTTTCTTCCAGTTTTATATGTATATATGAAATGTATATATATATGTCCATACATATGTGTGTATACACATAATATTATCATAGTGTATTAAGTTTTATAATTTTTTAAAAACTGAAATTATGTGATAAGCATTTTCTAATCCAATTATTGCTAAATATGCTTTCGAAAACAAGGTATTAATGAATGCCTCATAGCTTATCAGAGAGATGCACCATAATGTTTTTTAATCTTTAGTCTCTGAGTTTTATAATCAACTTAACATGGACAAAATTATATCATGTTATTTGCAGCTTTGTTTCCTTTTTCAGGAGTTCATTTTTTCAGGAATAGCAAGACGGTGGCTGAGACACTTTATAGTGACACTGCAACGGCCTGGATTTCCCCGTGTGGGGAGCTCTGAAGCTCCCCGAGATCACGTTCTGCAGGAGTGTTGGTAAACTCAGGAACCTGTCATTAGATTTCGGCTAATACACACTTTCCCCACACATCCCAGATAAGTTACAGGATTTTCTTGGACTAATGGGCAACCTCAGGCATCTTAGTTCAGCCCTATGTTATCAACGATAAAGAATATCTATTTCTACATCTTTACCAAGTACATCATGTACCAAAATAATCAACAATTCACAATTCATTTTAAATCACTTAACTTATAAATGCAAATTAGTATTTGCATGGTAAAACCTAAGGTGATTAACCAAATTTAAACCATCCATTCTCAACTCCAACAACTCTCAACCTGACAGTTTTCCACTTTCAGAGAACTAGGCAAATGAAAAACAGAATAAAACGACTAACAGTGAAAACAAAGCAACAGTTCTGGAGAGTTAAAACAAGTTCTGACCATTATCTTCTATTAGAAGAGCTCACTTGGTTATGTACGATGACCAAATGTCTCAAAAACACATGCCAGGGGGGATTTCGCCTTGTATCATGAGAGAGCAGGTCAGATTGGAATGACACCCTGTGAAAACAAGTGGAAAACTGGACCAAGTGTATGAAGCAACTATTTCCACACACAGGACAGCAGGCAACGCAGAACTGTGATCCCCGAGGGAAAGGAATGACGGACTGGAGCACCTGAATTTCCCAGGGTCCCAGCCTGAAGGCAATTCCCAGACTAAGGCCAAGGAGAGGAAAGTGAATCTAAAATCTCACCGAATTGAGGAGGCAGAAATCAAGGAGATCAAGGCAGCTGAGAGAGTACCAGAGATAAGGGAGCTACAAAAGGAAAGAATTCCAGAAACATGCATACTGTCCAGTTGAGTGTTTGGGTCGATACCAGTCTGAGGATGCATAGGATGGAAGCTCAAAGGCCAGACAAGAACAACTTCTGAGGAAGAAGCAATTCCTGGGGAGCTGTAATGTGAACAATTCCAAGAGCTCACACAGAGCTGGGGATCTTCGGAGTTCCCTCCACCCAGACCTCGCTGAGTACACAACATTCCTAGAGCCCAGAGAAGACCCCAACTTAGAAGAGGAGCTAAATTAGCCTCAGTTGAGACCAGCATTTACTTTCCTTGGGATCAGAAATCTGTGCTTCCAAACTCACCAGGCTTTCTTTTCTTGTCTTAGTTTTTAGTCAAACTTCCCTTGGAAATTCTACCTTGTCTCAGGGAATAGGAGGACAAGGAGAAAAGAAAAGGAACTTTTACCTATGCTTGGGCTAAATATAAAGGAGAGGGCCAGCCCTCAGGAAAGAGGCCAAGCCCAGAGACTACTGTGTGGAAAGGTGAGAGCCCCACAGTTGAGAAATCAGAGTCTGGAGATAGCATCACAAATGTCACTGACAGAGTTCTTGTATCCACAAGCTTTTATTTCCTTCCTGGTTTCTTCAAGTGTTCTGTATTCTGAACAAAGCAACAGATGAGACTGTTCATATGGACACTGTTCATGCAGACACTGGGGGAAAGGGACTGAATCAGGGTAAAGCATCGCCATAGTCGTGGTTATTGCAAAAGTAGTTCCGTTATGGGTTGAAAAGTGTCCCTCACCAAATCCAGTACCTCAGAAGGTGACCTTATTTGAAAATAGGGTTTAATTAGTTAAGGGGGTGGACCCCAATCCAATATAACTGATGTCCTCACGAAAAGGGGAAATTTGGACACAGACACATGCACAGGGAGAACACCATGTGAAGAAGAAGGCAGAGACCGGGGTGGTGCAGCAGAAGCCAAGAAATGCCAAAAAATGCCAGCACACCACCAGAAATTAGGAGGGAGGATTGGGGCAGATTCTCTCTCAGCTTTCAGAAGGAAGCAACCCTACCGACACCTTGCTTTAGGACTTCGAGCCTCCAGAACCGTGAGACAATAAATGTCTGTTGCTTAAGCCCCCCCAGGCTGTGGTCCTTTGTTACGGCGGCCCCAGAAAACGGATGTAAGTCCCTCCGTGTCTTCCGTGCCCAGGGATCAAAGGGACTGCTGACCACCTAGAAGCTGCAATATGGGATCCAGTACCGTAACTTCTCTCCTGCTGGTTTAACCTGGTAGAGACTTCAGAAGCCCTCGAGAATGTTGTATTCACAACCAAGGCAAGGAAAAGAGAACCAAGTGGATGCAGAAGAAAAATCTCCTAAACTGCTCTTCTTACTGAAGGCCAGTCGCTCTGCCTTTCAAAACCTAGTTAATTACGGGGCTAGTTTCCACTGGGGGGTGAGGAAATGGAGAACAAGTAGAGTCAGGATCATTAGGAAATAAAACCCATGCCTTTCAAAGATCCGAGAGAGAGAGCCCTTCTCCCCCGCATGGTCACTGTCTGTGTAGCCTTCTATGAAGAAATAGCGCACTGCATCGCATTTAACTTTAATAACAGAGCCAACTGGGAAACACGGGCTCCTTATATCTACCTGTGAGCTTGACTCCAGGTTCAAGGGCCTTCTGAAACCCAGAGTCTCATGAACTCCAAACTATTCCAAGGCCTCCTCCGCTGCCCTCTGTACACAATGAAAAGATGAACACCAACAGGCAGAAGAAAGGGCAGGGTCTCTTACCTCCATGCTTGTGCTGAACGCTCTAGTAACTTTCGCTTTGATGGTGATAACTTGTCCAACTCTAGTTAAAAAAAAAAAAAAAGTTCTCAGTAATCCTAGCACATCCCATTTCAGATTAAAGATTTGGTTGAATGCATGTGCCACAGAGCAGTTCTACCTTATCATGCTGCTAATGTTTGTGCGTGAAAATCTCAGGTTCATAACAAAAAAAACACTAAAAACAGATGCCAATCATTGTAAACCACACATAGGTTAGCTGACTACCTCTATTTAAACAGAAAAGGGACTTTGCAAAGATGGTGTGCAAAATGACTTCCAAATCCGCAACAGATTCTTGGCTCTGATTATCATGGCCGTTTCCTTAAGGGAGGTTAAAACAGATAAACAAGCAAACCTATACAACTGATATTTATTTTAAAATGTTAGTTAGTAAATAAATGGATAAACATACAAACAAGCAAGCAAGCAGACTGATCAGCTTCCCTAGGTCTACATGGGCCCTCAGTGCTGCTAGATGATCCATTCACGCCCCGTGATTACTGGAACTCTGGTCATGTAACCCGAAGTCCTTCCAAAGCTTTTGTGTTCCAGGTCCTTCAATCTGCTCTGATCCCTTCACCTTAGTGGAAGACAAGGGGCTACCCAATATGAGCTCCTCAGTTTTCTCCTCTGCTTTCCAAATTGAACTATAGTCTCACTGTTCTCACTCCTCTTTCGGAGGAAGAAAGACAGCTCTCTTCCAGACTTCTCTCTTTACCTGTGTCCTTGGTCCCATCCCCACTACTTCCCCTCCCCCACCATCTGCTGGCTCAGTCAGCTCTTTCCTCTTTTGCACCCTCGCTCTAGGCGCCTTCCCTGACTCCTTATCAGGCTAGGGAAATGGCTAAGGTTTCTCCTTTCTAAAAATCTTTCTCTCAAGCCTATTCTATCTCAAGCTTTTCCTCTTCTCCTTCATATACAAGCTTCCTAAAATAATCATTTCTTTTTCGAACTCATGCATTTAACAAATGTTTGTAGTTATGGCTAGTCTTGGCATTAAGCTAAGACCTCAGGAAATAGTGACGAACGTGACAAGGTCGCTGACTTCAAGGAGACCAGTCTTCACTTGGGACACCAGGATGTAAACAGATGAAATGGAATGCCAAGCAATTTTTTAAAAAAGAAGAAGAGACTGAGTATTCCAAAAGCACCCAGGAGAAGTGACTAATTTGGAAAGTCAGGGAAGGAGTCACAGAAGAGGCGACATTTGAGATAGGTCTTCAAAGATAAGGATTTTGCCAGGTGCAGAAGTTTGGCAGTTTCGTCTCCCATTCCCTTCTCGGCCACTCGAACCTAGCTGTTGCCGCCACAGCTTAGTCCTGATCTCTCCAGAATCACTTCCTAACAGCTAAATCCAACATCTCAACTCATTTAACAGCACCAACAAACCTCTTTCTTCACGAAATTTCTCTTCTCTTCACTTCTAAAACACTGATTCTCTCTTCATTCTCACTTTCCCTCACTAATTTCTCTTCCTTAATCCATCCCTCAAGTGTAGACATGTCCTAAAGTCCTGTCCTTTGTTCTATTCTCTTCTCACTTCACCCTCCTCCCAGAAGACCTAGTTTTCTTCCATGGTCCGATCATCTTTACAGAGGTGGCTCTCCAATCCACCTCTTTAGCCTGGACCTCATTCTTGAAACTCAGAGCCACATTTTCAAACTTCTCTCAGCAAATTCAACTAATAGTTACAGTGGCTCCACTAGGCTCAGTGTTAACTGATCCCACACCCGTTACCTAATTTAATCTAATCCCCACAGTTAGTACATGCAAACCCAAACAAATTTCCTTTTTTCCCTTAAATTTGTTCCTCCTAGACTTTCTGGCTCTGTTTGGTAAAGTTTCTAGGAGAGATTACCAGTAATGGTACCACGCAGGTTAGAGTCCCTCTTCAAAGCTACTGTGGTACTTGGTACTCACATCCTACTAAAATCTTATGCCCCCTGCCTGTCAGACTTTGAGGAGGAGAAGCATCTGCCATTTTTCTTTGTCTTTTTTGTGAACTCTGACCTACCTTTAAGAGTAGAAAAATTCCGCAGGACTTGGTTCTTCACCAAACCAAATTCCACACTGACTTGTCAACTGAATGGAATCACTAAAATCCCAACTAAATACAACCAATTTCATAGCGTGGCATTCAAGGCCTTCTGTTACCCAGCCCTGGTCCACCGCTAGGACATCATCTCTCTACAGAACGGGCTTCTCCTGAGCACTCCCTGCTCCTTCTTACCTCGGGGCTTAGACTCTCACAGGTCCCTTGTCTTGTGAACACCTTTTCCTATTCACCAGAGGAAAATCTATACCTCATTTAAGGCCCACATTAAATGCTACCTCTATCATGAATTCTCACTGATTCTCCAGTCAAAATGTACCTTTTAACTACTTCACAGAACTGAGTTTATATCTCACCCTAGGCATGCATGTTATCACGCTTTCTATTCCGATGATTATGTATTTGTCTGACTCTCTCACCAGACTGACCGACCACCACATTTGGAATTGTGCCATAATCATTCCCATATCCTACTGAGCCTAGAATACTTTTTGTATAAGCAATAGATATTTGTGAATTTAAAAAATGTCTAATATGGCTTGTAACCAAACTATATGGCTTTCTATACATGTCTTTCGATTTTCTTCTTTTATGGTACAGGTGCCATATAAAAAATACAAGAAGTTCCCTTTCCATGACGTTAGTGGCCACAAATCCTTTCCGATGACACAAACATGAAATGGTACAAAATGGCACAACTACATATCAATGATGAGGTTACTAGTTAAGACTAAGTTACAGAATTTAGGATTGGAAAGTACATAATAGATATTTTATTACAATATACTATTGGCGTTCCTAAGTTTAATAATGGTGCTTTAATCTAACCCCAAATAAGTTTGGATTTGCAGTAATTTGTAATTTTGCTGAGATACAAACACATGTCAACTTTTCTACTTCAGGGAAAATCACATAGTAGTATGTGAGCTTAAGCAATGGACCTTTATCTACTTCTACAAGATTCTAGAATGTCAAGGGCTCTTTCAGTGACACTGCAGCCGCCTGTGAGAATAAGCATGGAGAAATGTTCAATAAAAGTTGCTGATCACAAAGACAGAAGCAGTGGTTTGGGGAAAGCATTGGATTAAGCATCAGAAGATGCTGGCTCTCGGCACCCTCTGTCCTCCTCCGGCTGGCTCTGGGCATTAGATCTCATCAGTACAAAGAGAAGACTGGGCTGAGCTTTAAAGGTCTCTCTGTGCTTATGATTCTAATTCCTGCCAAAAATTTCTTTTGAGTTGGCTTTGAAGAAGTAATTTCTTTTTTTGCATGTTGTTTTACTTAATTTAACTTTGTTTGCATATAAATATAAATGCCAAATAGAGAACTCTAAGCAGCAAGGTTGGAGAGATGAACTGGGCATCTCATTGAACAAAAGTACTTAGAGGTTGAAAACTGGTGGCAACTGCCCCATCGTCCTTGAGAACCATCCCGGCCCAGAAACAGATGACCTTTCTCTTTCTTTCTCTTGTAAGTTATGTTCATGTCTTTAAAGGATCAATATAATCAGCATTAAAAAAAACACCAAAGGGATACAAACATAAAATCAAAGAAATTAAGTAAACCATATAATCCTAATTTATTACAGGTATTAGTATGAACTCTTTAAAAAACACATAATTTCTAATTCTGTCCACTGAAAAAGCCTAGAAATAATGACCAACCCTATATTAATGAGCACCTTCTCTGTCCAGATTGTGATCTCTACTTATCATTTCTTTTGAAGAAATTTCTGATTCTACGTCTGTGTGAGGAACATAAATGATTAGCCCATTTTGTCATACCAGAAAATAAGGGAGTTGTCAAAGGCTTCTAATTTGGGTTTATGTCCAAAGGACTTAGGAACCGAACTGAAGAAGGTCCCACTGTCCAAAGATGGGGCAGTTTGAGCACCCACAAGAATAATCACATCAAAATGTAAATGCATTGTATATGTTAAAATCCATGGGTTCATAATGATGTTAAATAAAAGGAAAGAATTAAGCCTGTCTTTCCTGGACAAACTCTACCTCAGGCTAACCAAGTAATTAATGAGATAAAGGGTCTCTGGACACAACTATTTCAGAAAATAAAAGAAGAAGAAATGATATAATTAGCACATTACCATTTTACCAATATCCAATGAAATAATGGTTCTAGGTAAAGATCATTAGACCTCATGTGCTCTTGACAGGAACTAGTTTTAGTAAAATATCAAACATTCATCAGATCAACTTTTAGATGCAACTATCAGTTTATAAGAAATACAAAGGACAGGTGAACACATTAAACAGGGATATAACGAGCAAATACAGCACGTAGCAAACTCTGCAGGACAAATGACCAGGTTTCTTTAAAAAATCATTGCAAGAGAAAAGAAGGAAGGGAAAATTATAGGTTAAAAGGCATATCAATCATATTGGATCCTGATTCAATAACCAATTGTTTAAATTAAAAAAACATTTTTTGAGACCATTGGGAATAATAATTTCTCATAATGGTATTGTGATTGTTATTATGTTTTCCAAAAGAGCCCTTATCTTTTAGAAATGTATACTGAAATATTCACAGAAGATGCCTGGGATTTGCTTCAAATAATCCAGGTGTGTGTGTAGGGGGGTGGGGGATGGAGCGGTATTGATAAAACAGGAGGGTCCAAGAGTCGATTATTATTGTAGGTAGGTGATGGGTCCTTGGGAGCACACTGTGCTATTCTCTCTACTTTTGTGTATGTTTGAAATGTTTGTATACCCTGAAATTTTCTACAATAAGAGATAGTAAAGCACATATACACTCCCATACATTAAATGTTTTTCATAATTTAACATTTCTACTCAGATGAATTAATGTTTATTCAACAACCTAATGATGAAATTCACCATCATAGAGATACTTACTGTCATTAATTATTCTTCTAGTCAAGGAAGGAGCCCTTAAGAATCAGCTTTTAACAATCCTGCTATGCTTTATACCAGAATGCATCTAATGCTGAGAGATATTTCTCAACAAAGTCAGGACTGTGCATTTATTCTTGAGTGTTTACTAAAAGTAGGTCCTGCAATTATTTCTTTTACTGATTTATATTAGGTCCAATGTTATTTATTTTACCAACAAATTGGTAAATTGGATCAGTGACTCCAAATGAATAAGCTTAGGTGCCACAAATACAAGTTGCAGACGAACCAAGAAACCCAGGAGAAAGGTGTGATAGGGCAATGCCACTTACCTAGCTGTCTCCTCAAACTGTATGTCATCCACCGAGGCTGTAACGCAGGAAACCCCAGCATGTTTTTCAGCTTCAAAAAACAGGTAAAAATGTGCTGCATGAGTAGTTATGTCTGAATATTTCAGCATAAGGGGACAGGGACAATCCTTAAGTGGACTCATTCTAGTAACTCATCCTCTCGTTCAGTACAGGACCACTGTGCTCACACTTCCGGATGATCTGGATCAAAAAGAGTTCCTTTGCTCTAGAAGCTACATTTCTACTGCCTGGAAATTACTGTACTTTCTTGTAAGTTTTAACTCACACTGTTTATTATTTGAAATTCAACACCAATACCCAGCATATCTAGCTATTTAAGTAGCAATCTTAGTAATTTGGTGCCAACTTTAAATATTTTGTCACGTACTATCCTTCTTTTGTTTTAAAAATAATGCATCAAAGCTGTATCCATTATCCCACATAACCAGTCACTGAATATATTTAAACCACTTCACCAGTGGTCTGAGCATGGGAGACCCTGAGATCATATCCCAATCAGAGAGGAATTTCTCTGGGCATCAGAGAAGTAGAGACGGGCACAGAGCAGGTATTTAGTCAATATTTATTATTTATTATTACCAAATTCACCAGGCATTAATTATGTTGCAGGAGGAGAGTATTGAGTAGGGTGGAGAGCGATTAGGGAGGAGCTCCAGTTAGTTCCATGTCTGCATTTAATTTGTTGAGATTTTTTTCTGATTGTTGGTTTTACTTTATACACAAATATCAGAATTTATTCTCTTTGGGAAAAATTTTGACATGTGCTTCTGCCAGAACTTGGTTTTGAGGAACAGTCAACTAAAACCCAAACAGGTTACATTGGCCTTTAAAGAACTTCTAACCCCATTTTAATTTTGGAGACTTCACTCCTGAAAAAAAGGAAAGACAGTGAATTATGCTGAATTTGGATTCTTTGTGTGTAGTGGATTACTTTAACTGCAATAGATATTAATTGATAGTCCCAGGTAAAGAGAGAGAAGAAAAAACTCCAAAGCCCTCCTCCCTATGATCTGATTCTGTAGAAAATTCTGGTCTTACTAGTTGGAAATAACTGTTCTTCCAAACATGCACGTAACATAAACTAAGTTACCAGAAAATGAGCCACAGCAGAACTCTGTGTGTGAGTGAAGGAGTGGGAGGACTGGCTCCCCAGCTTTAAAGTTCAGTGAGAGGAAGAGAACATAAAAGTATGGGACTTTAGAAACACTCAAGGTGGGCTCAATTTAATTCAGCGTCTCAAACATTTGTTACGTACCCACTGATTTCCAGACACTGAGCTGAATCAGCCCTATCTTTCAACAAGTCTACTCAGCGGCAGCTAGAGATCCAGCCATAGTCAGCACCCTTCTCGAGGTTAAGACTTCCAGAGAACTACTGGATCCTTGCAAACACGTGCTGTAAAACATTGACTACCGAGTACCTCACAGACATTCGTTTAGTTACCTGACATGAGGGAACGGGATGTTGAGCTTATTAAACTATTCTTGTTAATAAAGTGTTACCAGGTATACCAACATGAGTTACCAATTTTGAATGATTTAAATGATAACTAAAGTGCAATAACCAATAAAAGACAATATTTATCGTGTATTTTGGGTATCCACTATGTGTATATAGCACTATACTAGACTGCATTAGGGATCAGGAAGAAACATAATCATAATAGTTGCCATTTATTAACCATTTGTTATTGGCCAGGCCCTGAGCTAAGTATTTATGCACGTCAATTACATACGGTTGGTACTATTATTAGTTCTATTTTACATGAGGAAATTTAGGCTGAGAAAGATTAAATACATTGTTCTAACTAGTGATTTTGACTACAGAAGCAATAGGAACTCAGAAAAGACAAGACCAACCAAGGAACGCTCCCCAGAGAAGTATTTGGCCAAATATGGTCTTCAGAGGTTCATTAGCGAAGGTTTACACTACAGATTTCCAAAGGCCATTAAATTAAAAAGAAAAAATAAAAATATGGGAACCAACATAGGGTCACATTTTAACAGGTGAGTATATGTGATTGTTTTCTTTTTACAAGCATGTTAGGCATGAATTCAACAGGACCAGCTTGTTTTGATTCTTGATTTCGATTGTCCTTCATACAGATGCCAACAAAAGTGGAGAAACCCTAAAGCTATTTCTGATTTCCTGGGGAAGCTGAGAGAAGCTGAGGAAGAGTCGCAGACTAGCCAAGTTGTTGTAATCCAGATATGAGATAATGGTTGATAAAAATGGTGGAACTTCATTCATTCATTCATTCCTTTAACCAATACTGACTGAGTAGCTGTGCTATGCCAGCCTCTGCATAATGTGCTGGAAATATATAACAGCCACGACCCCTGTTCTTATGGAGTCTAGTGGAGGGATTAATTAAATGAATACATAATAACAAAATGAGTTAAGCGCTCTGAAGAAAACATGGATTTTATGGGAGTCTGTAACTGAGGAACCAGACCTAGGTGGGATGTCAGGGAAGGCTTCCACATAGAGGGGATACTCGAGCTGAGATCTGAAGGATGAGTGGAAGTAAAATGCATGTGTTGGGAGGGGGAGCAGAGGAAAGGAGAGCATGCTGAACAGAAGGAACAATGACTACAAAGCTCCTGATGAATGTCTTTGTGGCTAAAATTCAGAAAGCAAGAAGGAGAGTGGGTAAGATAAGGCTGAAGGGAAGGCTGAGGATGGACTATGCACAGCACCTTGAAGCTCTTGGTTGACGATTTTATATTTACTATTATTATTAAAGATATTGTTCCACTATCTTCTGGACTCCATTGTTTCCAATGAGGTCAGTGGTAATTCTAATCATCGATCTCCTATATATAGCATAGTGTTTTTCTCTGCCTGATTTCAAGATTTTGTTTTCACCATAATTTGACTATGATGTATCTAGCTGTGGTTTTCTTTGTATTAAGCTTGCTTGGTGTTCAATGTCTTCTTGAACCTGTAAATTTTTGTCTTTCACCATATTTAGGAAAATTTCAGCCATTATTTCTTCAAATATTTGGTTTTTCTCATCTCCTTTGAAACTCCAATTACATGTGTGTTATACCTTTTGACTTTTTTTCCCACAAATCTCTGATACTTTGTTCACTTTTAAAATTCCTTTTCCCCCTCTGTTCTTCAGATTGGATCATTTTTATCGATCCATCTTTATGTTTACTCTTTTTTTTTACTGAAGTCATAACAGTTTATAATGTGAAATTTCAGTTGTACATTATTATTTGTCAGTCACCATATAAATGAGCCCTTTCATGCCTTGTGCCCACCCCCCAACCCTTTTCCCCACTAGTAACCACTAAACTGTTCTCTTTGTCCATGTGTTAGTTTATTTTCCACACATGAGTGAAATCATACAATGTTCGTCTTTCTCTGTCTGGCTTATTTTGCTTAACATAATACCCTCAAAGTCCATCCATGCTGTTTTGAATGGGACAATTTTGTCTTTTTTTATGAATGAGTAGTATTCCATTGTACATATATACCACATCTTCTTTATCCAATCAATCTTCTTTATCCATTCATCAGTCGATGGGCACTTGGGTTGCTTCCATTTCTTGACTATAGTGAATAAAGCTGCAATGAACCTAGGGGTGCATAAGTCTCTTTGAATTGTTGATTTCAAATTCTTTGGATAAATAACCAGTAGTGGGATAGCTGGGTCATATGGTATTTCTATTTTTAATTTTTTTGAGAAGTCTCCACACTGTTTTACATAGTGGCTGTACCAGTTTGCATTCCCACCAGCAGTGTATGAGGGTTCCCTTTTCTGCACATCCTCTCCAACATCTGTTATTTTTTGTTCTGGTGATTATAGCAATTCTAATAGATGTAACGTGATAGTTAGTGTAGTCCTAATTTGCATTTCCCTGATGATTAGTGATGTTGAACATCTTTTCCTGCCTATTGGCCATCTGTATATATTCTTTGGAAAACTGTCTGCTCCTATCCTTTGCCCATTTTTTCATCAGGTTGTTGTTGTTTTTTTGTTGTTGTTCAGTTGTGTGAGTTGTTTATATATTTTGGAGCTTAACTGCTTGTTGGATATATGATTTGTAAATATTTTCTTCCAGTTGGTGGGTTGTCTTTTCATTTTGTTCCTGGTTTCCTTTGCCTTGCAGAAGCTCTGGTGAAGTCCCACTTGTTTATTTTTTCTTTTGTTTCCCTTGCCCTAGTAGACATGGTATTCAAAAAAATCCTTCTAAGACCGATGTCAAAGAGTGTACAGACTATATTTTCTTCTAGGAGTTGTATGGTTTCAGGTCTTACTTTCAAGTCTTTGATCTATTTTGAATTAATTTTTGTGTATGGCGAAAGACAATGGTCTACTTTCATTCTTTTGTATGTGGCTGTCTACTTTTCCCAACACCATTTATTGAAGAGACTGTCATTTCTCCATTGTATGTTCTTAGCTCCTTTGTTGAAGATTAGCTGTCCATAGATGTGTGGTTTTATTTCTGGGTTTTCAATTCTCTTCCATTGATCTGTGGGTCTGTTTTTGCACCAGTACCATGCTGTTTTGATTATTATAGCTTTGTAGTATATTTTGAAGTCAGGGATTGTGATGCCACCAGCTTTGTTCTTTGTCCTTAGGAATGCTTTAGTTATTTGGGGTCTTTTGTTGTCCCATATGAATTTTAGGATTCTTTGTTATATTTTCATGAAGAATGTCATTGGGATTCTGATTGGGATTGCATTGAATCTGGATATTGCTTTAGATGGTATGGACATTTTAACTATATTTATTCTCCCAATCCATGTGACTGGAATATCTTTCCTTTTCTTTATGTCATCATTGATTTCTTTCAATAATGTCTTATAGTTTTCATTGTTTAGGTCTTTCATCTCCTCCATTAAATTTATTCCTAGATATTTTATTCTTTTTGTTGCGATTGTAAATGGGATTGTATTCTTGAGTTCTCTGTTAGTTCGTTATTAGAGTATAGAAATTAAACTGATTTTTGTAAGTTGATTTTGTACCCTGCTACTTTTCTGTAGTTGTTGATTCTTTCTAATAGCTTTCCAATGGAT